GTCCTGTCTTTTGACATCTGTTGCATCTCTGCAACTTCTTGTAGCCTGTAGAGCGAGCCTTCTCGCTCTCTACATAACAGAGTTCCATCGGCTCTGGACCTCCGTTGTCATATCGTCTCGGTTGACGATATGATGTCGAGCTGGCGCGAGCCTGTCTCAGACTGAAGTCTTCCTGCTCCGCAATTGAAATGGCTTGTTCTAGTGAATCTAGTTCAAGCCGGAACAGGTGAGTCTTGACGGGACCATCCGCAAGACCCTGCATGAACACCGAAACCAACGTGTGTTCATCCACCGGATTGGAACTTATACAACTCGTGAGATGTCGTATATGTTGAGCGTAAGCGTGCACATCACGCTTACCCTGCTTGAGCTTCAAGAGTTCGGTTCGAGCTCTGAACTCAGCTCTAGGCGGTTCAAACGTTTGTCTGAGCCGCGACTTGAAGACTTCCAACGACCCAAACGCATATGGGTCGTGCAGCTTGAGCCCCAGTGCCCAAGTCTTGGCACGTCCTGCCAGATTTGACTGGGCAAATGCAACTTGCATATCCCCGTCGTCGATGCGACGCGCCCTTATGGCGTCATCCAATTCGACGAACCATCTCAAGAGGGAGTCTTCTTCGATCCCCCTATACTTGGAGATGTCAATCTTCAAGGTTTCGGGTCGACGCGAGTGCATCGACCCACCAGCAGCAGCCTGCTGCTGTCTCAACAGTTCAAACTGTTGAGCACCCTGTTCTCTCAACAACTCTGCTTGTTGAGAACCTTGTTGGTGAAGCAAGGCTACTTTCTCGCGTTCTGCGTCAAGTTCATTTTGAATGAACTTGGCGATAGTAGCATGTTGGGCATCTCTATTGAGAGCCTCTAGCATGACGCTAACAGCATGGATGCCCATGGTCGAACCCATTCGTTCAACCGCATCCCATTCGACATCGCTCAAATGGGAGTAGCCGTCACGCGTAGCGTGAAAGCTTTGGTCATCTTCATCATCCAACATATTCATGTTGGATGTGAACGCGGTCCTTGGACGGACTACGAAGTGCTACCAGGTGTGACGGGGCACCCTGAAGCTTGTACTGGTGACAGTACAAGCTACTCATTCTGATAACAGAATAAGGCGGTGCCTCGTAACTTCACGTACACTCGTACGTGCAGAGGAAGACGGTAAGAAGAAGCGAGTACTCGGTTAGAGTAAAAAGTAGAACTGTATTTATAATAGTTAATGTCTGCAATAAATCACTATTTATCTTCATCTAACTATGTCTAAATACAAATGTGTAAATCAGTTATCTGCTCACCACTCATTGCGTGCGTCTGTCGTGGCGCGTCTTCGTTGGTTGATATAATGGCCTATATCAACCAATTAGGAACTACTTGAAAGTGCTACAGAATATTGTCCTTATGACAATATTCTGAGAATATAACTCTTATAGTTATATTCTATTAACAATTTCTTATAAATTGTTATGTAACGATTCACCCCGTTACAACAATGCAACAAAACAAGACCGGGATGGTGATACCCAGATAGACGATGACCACGGCCAGAGTCAGGCGGGTAGCTGTGATAAACAAATGACAAAGATGGATGGTCATGACCAACCGAATACAGAGGGGTCTAATGGCGAACATACAATTGGTCATCGTTGGGAAAAAACTATGATCGCTTTCACAATGCTGAAAGCAAAAGTTGCCCAGACCCCGGTGCTAAGACATTTTGACCCTGATCGTCGGCCAGTGATATTGGCTTATGCCAGCAAATGGGCGGTATCCGCAGCTTTGTTGCAAGAACACGACGGAGTGGATTGACCTGTTATGTTCACAAGCCGCACGTTTAACCCGAATTAAACCAACTACGGTGAGGTGGAGAAAGAAGTCCTGGCCCTGCTCCGGATATTAGATGCTTGTTATACACTACTAGTATTGCGGGAACTAAGTGTTCACACGGTATTCATCTCTGGCGTGGTTGATACAATTATCGGGCCTTAACGGGAGACTTGGAATATGGGCAGCTTTACTGTCGACTTGGACTCTGGAGATTAAACCAATGCAACAAAGGAGAGGACGAAATTTTTGGCATTCTTGCCGCAAGCATCACACCACGGGAGGATGTGGATGAAATGCTGATCGCGATGCGCCCCAAAAGCAATCGAGGCAGATTATCAGTATGCAGCCCCCTACGGTCAGCCGCAAAGAATCGCTTCTTGTCGTCAGCTTTGATGGAGCAGCCCGTATCAAGAACAAAGGGGGGCTTACAGTGCAATAATATGAACGCTTCCCGAGTGGACTATAGTATCGGCTCCTCGCGATCCGACACTGGGTTGACCGTGAACGAGGCAGAGTACCATGGGTTGCTGCTGAGTTGCGAGTTGTTTGCCAAGCAGACAAGGGGCAGCGTGGTCATTTGTGGGGATTACAACCTGGTTATCAAGCAGATGAGGGGTGTAATTGGCTGCAAGGCACCGGGACTGCAAGCACTACGTCTCAAGGCCCTAGATCAACTGCGATCATGGCCGACTCATGAACTCTTACACGTTAAGCGCGATGTGAATTAAAGTGCCAACAGACTGGCTAGCTCCGCTTTACAGCTGGAAATAGGCATAGGCAGACTAACGAAGCAGGATTGCCATGATTAACAAGCGATGAACCGACTGGACGAGATTTTAGTACCAACGACCAACAATATATTGAAAAAGATAACGGCGATCACACTATCAGCCATACGGAGCCGTGAAGTGCCCACGATTAAACAAGCGGAAGTAATACAGCAGATGCGACTGGAACGCATAAAGCAAGCGCAAGATGTTGAAAGTTGGATCGCCAATCTCAAACTTTACCTTGTCGGGGATGATACCGAATTGGATGCTACGGAAGCAAGAGCAAGTGCGGTCATTGCCCCAGATTACGTGGTGGATAAAGGTGGATTGCTACGTTTTCGCCCACGAGCGGCAGCAAACCCCAGTGACCACGCGGAGCTCGTCCGCTTGGTGGTTCCGAAATTATTATTGCAAGATGGTGTCCATCACCACTACCATGCAAGTCTGAAAGGTGGTCACCAAGGGGTAAGCCGAACGTATCACCGCGTGCGATCGCACTTTCATTGGAGAGGCTTGTTTAGAAGCGTGCAGCAATTTTTGGGGAAGTGCGTCGACTGGGAAACCGGGAAAGGATGTCCGATCCTACGAGGCAAATCCCCGGGAAATTACAGGCCACGTACCCGGTCCAGATCATTGCATTGGATCACATCCCCTCGTTACCCAGGTCGTTGAAAGGGAATACCGAACTGTTGCTTTGGGTGAATTTTTTTTCTGTGTACGTGATCGCTTAAGCTAGCTCGCCCAGATAATCGCGGAAGGGCATGAAGAATGTGTCTTCCGGCGGTTTGGGGCGAGTGAATAAGTTCGTCACAACCACGAACCCGGGTTCATGTCGGATTTCTTTCACGCGTTCAACCGCTTTGCTGGTCAGAAACAACGTGCCACCATGGCGTTTAGGCCTCAAGCCAATGATAAAGCTGAACGCATGGTCCAAACATTGACCAGAGCGCTAAAAATGTATGTCACGGATGTGAACCAACAAGATTGGGACGAATATGCTGAGCGCCTGACCTTAGCCATCGATTTGGCCCATGACCGAGTACGGGGTGATACCCCGTTCTATCTTATCCATAGTCGGGGTCCACGATCTACGCTGGAAGCGGCCCTGCCGTTGGAATGTACTAAAAAACGTGATCGGGATCCCTGGAGTTGGCGCTGTTGTGGTGGAGTGGGGTTTGCTCATTTTTTTGAGGCGATCCCGACTCCCCACTGGCGCCCAGACGACCGATTAATGGAGGGGGTACTCCGTTTCCGCTTGCACTGGTTTCCTCCTCACCTTGTGTACCCATCGGCAGGGCGGGTTGCACTCTTCTAGGTGGACTCGACGAGATGCTAAACTTGACCGTTGTAGAGATTGGTGCTGATCGGGTGGAAAATCCTCACCCGATCGCGTGTTCTGGGTTGGCTCTCTCCTAGAGTCACCGTGATCGGCCCCTGATCACTTTGTGCCAAAATGTGTACTTGAGTCGCGAGCCTTTCTGGCCACTTGAGCCGTCTCGCGACCTTGTACTTCAACCGATACGGTTGGCTGCGTCCGATCGCAGTAGGGGTGTGTTGAGAGTCCTAGCACTCCTGGCCAAATAGCTCCAGGAGTGATCATTCTATCCTTGATGTCGAGATTCTCAGACATCGGGAGTCCAAAATGTCCAACCCGGGAGAAGATCGACACGAATGTGTTTAGAAGAAAATTAAACTCTGTTTACTGTTAACCAATCAGACCCTCACACCTTACCCATATAATTCAGAAATCATATGCCACGCGTCGCCTCTACAGATCGTCCTTGTACCTATGTGGCACAGACCTAACACACCAACTGTCTGATCGCATCAGGGCTTGGTCCACGCCAGATCGCGGTCCCTTGATCGTGGTCTCTTGATCGCGGTCCCTTAACCGCGGTCACCTGATCGCGGTCCGGAACCGTTCTGACTGAATGAGATACTTCCGTGAATGATCCCAACGGTGCCATCCAAGTGATTGGTCCTCGTCCCACGATCGTTCCGACGGTTCCCACTCCGTACTTAGGCATACGTTTGAGGTTTTACGACACCGATCTTGATCGACTTTACCACAATCGCCCCCTGCACAAACAGCCGATATGCAACATCTGGCTTGCTTGTGCACGTTATAGTCACCACTTTGCGTTTTATCCTCTCGTTGCCTTCCATAATTTTCCCGTCGTCCACGCCCAGCTCGCCACCAACAGGTTGTGCGCCATCTCCCTCGGTGATGACGCAATCTGGTCCCGCACCTTTGGTCGGTGTTAACATTTCGCCACGCGAACACCCAACTGGCCTCGATTCCACGCGGTTATAGGTACCTCGGTGAGCGGAGGTCCGATCGGCCCCGCTTTGGGACTCGATGCTGTTGTGGACCTCGCTTCAAGAACGGAACCGATCGGCTCCACGATGACGCCTGATGTCCTTGACAGTTCCGCTGCAAGTGACGAGCCGATTGGGGTCGAAGAATCTGCTGCAACCACTGATCCGATGAGCTCCGCGTTTGCGCTTGATGTCGTCAACAATTTTGCTGGAAGTGGCGACCCAATTGGGGCTATTCCGTTTCCGACCACTCGAGTTGAAACACCAATAGTTGATGAAACGACCGCGGTTGGTACGATTGCTGGACTTTATCAGCGGATCGCATCCCAGCAGGATCTTTTGGATAGCTATCGCGATCTGGAGCAAGCGTTGCGGGAGAAAACTCGGAGGGGTGATCGACTAGAACGGGAACTCCGTTCTCTTACCGAGTCGGTCTATCTTTTTGTGATCTTCGCTTAAACTCGTTGTGTTCGCCTTCGTCTGGATTTGAAAACATTTCTCGCTGAAGTCACTTTGCTTCAGGAGACAATTCGCGCGGGGAGTTGCTACGAGCAGCAAATACGAGACCTAAAGTCGAAACTTTTGAAAACGACCCGATCACTTCATTCGTTTAAAGAGCGTCATGATCTCGAGCTGGCTTCCTTGCGACGGCACATGGATGAGGGGAACGCTCGATTACAAGACGTACTCTTAAAAGCCAAATATAAGAGAGCCAAGTGCAAGGCAGACTGTTCGCCACCTGCATGCTGCTCTTGCCGCTGTATCAGTGGAGCGCGATCAACTTCGGGATGACCTGGCTGAGTTGGAAGCTGAATATGACCGATCGTGCTCCTTGCTCTCCGATCGTGACGATCGGGTGGGTCTGCTTCAAGCTACTGTCTCGAATTTGGAGCTAGAGCGCGATCAGGTGTTGCACGATTGCGACGTTCTTCGAACGAGCATTGCCGCGGTCGTTACCGGCCCCAGTTTACCCTCCTCGTCCCGTCCAGTTGAGACGGCCCCATCTACGATGGCTCGTGTCAAACGCCCTAGTACTTCCGCTCTGACGCCTCCTCCGCGGACCAACAGAGCCAGAATCGAGGCTACCTCGCAGTCGGTCGTCAAGATGACACCCAAGAATCATTCTCCGATTAGTTCCGGTATCGTCGCCGAGCCTTCTCCGCCGCGAAACCCCGAAGAACAACCCTTCCCGATCACCCCACAGTTCCACACGATCTCATGCAAAAATTACGCTCAAGACTACCGTTCTTCCCGGACCTGGTGTTCGAAGAGGCAAAGACAGAGCGCGCAATTCGACGCCTGCCCTAGCTAGCTCGGATGATGACGATTTATCGGATGCCGGGCCTCGAACCTTGGCTGCACTCTCCCGATCACGCTCTTCTTCACGGCGTGAATTCCCGTTGGGTAATCCGACGACTCCGTCTTCTATGATACCAGAGCTGATCATAGTGGATACCTCCAGACCGGATGTGGATTCCGCCGCCTCCCCAGTTTCCGCTTCCCTTAGGCCAAAACCCAAGGTTTCCAAGGTCGCCTTGTTTGGCGAAGCTTCTAGCAGTTCGGAGGGTCCGATCAGCGTTACGGAAGACGTCCGAGCCTCGGCCAATAATCTGTTGTCTTCGGCCGAGTACAGAGATCTTCCCAAGACTAAGGTGCCCCGCGATCAGTGAGTACCCGGGTATCACTGTCGCGTACCAAAATCTTCTGTCAAGTTTCAGCTTGGTCTGTGCGCCGGGTGAGCTGGATTCGCGTGTTGGAATTAGATTTGGAGTTCTTCTATCGCCATCTCGCCAGGCCCAAGCGATCCCCTTTTGAAGCCTCTCCTGCTGCATCGAAAACACCTCCTATGTCTGAGTGGTCTCCCCATTTGATTTTTTCGGCGCGACTTTCCGCGCTTTATCGCCAGAAGCCCTGGAATTCTTTGCGCGTAAAGATTGCGCCCATATCTTTTCAGCCCTTTGGGTGGTTCGATCAGTTGCTGGACCTATACCACTCTTTCGAAGAGCGCTACAACCAGACGTTGTAGGAATCAACCCATGCTTTACCCATTTCTTCCGCCGATCGGGTGATAGATTCTGGGCTGTCGTTATTCTGCGATCAGCGCAAACAGCGGCGATCGCGATCCGGACCTCCTTGGAAAACCGTACTCAAATTCATACTACGAGGAGTGTTAGAAGGCCATTGCGACTTGCACATTCTGCTGACCCGGTTTTCACGCACCTACCTCGCTTATGTGAGAAGCAGTTCTAACACCCCGAATTGGGTACTGGGAAGACTAACATTATAAACCTGGCTTCCGCTTTGTCTTTGACGAACTCTGCTGAGCCATGGCGTAATCAGTACCGGACTTCGATCGCGAATCACCCAGGCATTTCAATACCTCGCCTATTCGGTAAGTTCTTCGCCCCGTAGTCGATCGAGTTCAACACATTTCGTGTTTTAATTTTATTTCTTCATACTGTCTTTAATCTTGATCTCTCCGGAACTGTCTTCTACTTCAGGCCTCTTGGGCCGCGATCGTGCTTCGATCGCTGCACATATTTACAAACATACATTCCTCCTTATTACGCCGCCTCCTGGTGTAACGTTTCCCACCGTACGACCATGTGCAACCTCCTTGCACACTTACACACCCCATCCAACTCGATCTGGTCTAGACTCCTGGCTCTTCTTCGTGCGTTTGTATCACTTCGAACCTATTTCGATTTATCCGATTGCGATCGAATTCTTGTCATAAAGCGCCACAATTCAAGTCTGCTTCATCCACCCATGATGGATCGCAATTACCTTTCCATTGAACCTGAAATTGGCGGTGTACTCGTCCGTAACGCGTCTTTCGACCCGATCGGACGTCCACAACCTTTTGTCCCCTCGAATTCACCATCATCCTACTCGCCTCCCCAGCTATCTTCTGGTAGTAAGCCTTCGTCGAAATCGACCCGATCGGACTCGTCTACCTTCAGTTGACTTTGAGTCCGCTCTAAAAACATCTTCACTGGCTTTAGCTTGGACACTTGTACTATTGGGAACAACCTATAAGGTGTGCCTGCGATATTCAATTTTGCTACATGATCTCCACATTTTTCCATTACTCGAAAGGGTCCTTGCCACATATGGGCTAACTTCCGAGGATATCCATCCTTCACGCGATCCAAATACAACCACACTTTTGTCCCTCGATCGATCTCTAGCAGATTTCTGTCGTCATTGCGACAATCCGATCTGTCCTGGATAGCGATCTTTAACCGATCTTTCACGATTGCTCTTGCCTGTTGATACTGACGCTGTATGTTATATCTCCATCTTTTTGGATCTCGATAGCGAGGTTTGACACTTCCCATTGGTAATGCCGCTTCCAACGTCGATCGGGGGTCCCAGCCACGGATCAGATAAATAATGTCTCTCCGCAGATTCGATCTTGGGCGGTATTAATCGCATAGGTTATCTTTCTGCATATTCATCCCAATCTCTCTGGTTTTCGCCAGCGACATACATCTTAATCGATCGCGCTAGAGCTTAAACCATACGTTCTGCGGTTCCGTTCGCTTGAGGTCGATACGCCATTGTGGCTCGTTGCTTCTGTCCTGCAATCTTGTTGAAAGCTCGAAAGAAGTCAGACATAAATCTTGGCTTTCGATCATGACGGATAATTTCACTCGCACCAAATCTTCGAAATACGCTATCTTCATAGTTCTCTGCAATCTTCCGGGCCGTTCGGGCAGAACTCGCTTTTGCGATCACGTAACCCAAGAACAGATTGACCCACAACAGCAACTCAGTATTCTCCTTAAACGATCGCGGTAAAGATGGGATATGATCCATTGCCAGAGTTTGGAATGGGTACGTCGCTTGAAAGTTGCTTGGAGATCCACTCCGATCTTGCGGGCAACCTTTGCCGGTTTCACAATCAATACGTTCTCCATCATAGCGTTGCAAGCTCCGGTACAATCCTCGCCAATGGAAATTCGCCCTGATCCGATGTTATGTGCGCCTACCCCTTGGTGCCCACCCTCTGGACTAGTATGGTAATGGTGTAGGACAGCTTGTTGCAGCAACTCTGGAATTACCAGACGAATCGACTCTCCACGATCTTCGCTCTTTGATGCCACCCTGGGGCTGAAATATAGCAGTCCACTTTGGTCGACTTCGTAGTCTGGTGAGATTAGTCCTCATATCTTTGCGTCTCTAGCACTCAGCGTGGCTAAATTCCCGATCAGATATGTCTTCAAGTCCGACATCCAATTTCCTCATTTTGCGCCTGGTTTATACGTTCGATCCGGACTTGTTGTACAACTTCTTCTTGTAAAACTGTCTGGGGGCATCGTCTTCGCGTCTTTGATCGCGTGATCGCGGCTACATTGACTGGGTGGTTAGTCCGTTTTGGTATCAGTAGTTCATTTAACCGATTAAGGGTCACGAGATCGTCTCGTTCTTGGTCTGTGCTGCGACATTTCCTTTCTCCTGACGTAACGCCTCGCTCGCTAGTCGGTCAGCACTCTGGTTCCAGACCCGTTTCACATGTAGCAATTCGTGTTTTGGCAACGATCAATTGTTCTCCATTGCCTTATGTTTCAAAAGTTGTAGACCTGGTGCTTAACAGTCGATTTCACCTCGCATCTGTCTTATTACCAAGTTCGAGGCACCACAAAAGATCACCCTACCTCTGATCTGATCAGACAGTGACTCCAGACCCAGCAACAGCCCACGATGTTCAGCCTCGTTTACCGTCAAATCTTCCGCAAATTCTGAAGTAGCCATCACGATCGTTCACTCAGGAAACTCCCATATTATTGCGCTGTAAGCGCCACATTCCTTCTTTGCCCTAGCCGATCCATCGAAATGACCACCAGGACACTTTTGTCTACTTCAACTGTGGGTGGTGGCATGCTTATGTTTTTCCGTGGTTGTTTCCTTGGAGTAATCGCGATCAGCACTTCATCTACATCCTTTCGAGGTGTTATAATTGCAGCCAGCGTACCTAGCACTTCGTCTTCGCGTTTTTCGCACCCTCTGATATCTAACGTCCAGTTCTATAGTAACGCCGCCCATCTCCCTAGTCTTCTGTTAAGACCCGACGACTGCAATAGCCAAGCAAACGTCGAGTATCTCGTAAGCACTATAATCTCCCGCGAACCCAACATCGTATAACAAATGTCTAACATGCGGAGGAGGGCTAGCACTTCTTTCTCAACAATTCCGTGATTGACTTCGTTGGATTTCAGCGTGCGACTAGAACAAAAGACAGGCCAATTCGTGCCGTCATGCTCTTGAAGCAATGCGGCTAATACCGCCCACTTACTGGCGTACACCACAAGCACCGGTGCTCAATCTGGATCGAGATGTCTTAAGATCGGTGTTTTAGCAAATTCGCCCTTTAGCAAGTTAAAAGCCATCAGGGCTTCCTTCCATCGACTTCCCTTTCCAGAATGTAGATCGCCTCATGTTTTCTGGTCCAGATCGCCCCCTGTTTTTTGGTCCAGATCGTCGCCGGACTCATTTCGCGAATGTGATCACGATCGGGTTCATAATTGGATACCATTATCCGAGCTTCTTTATCTTGGCTGATCTCGTGGAAATCTGCTTCCCGTAGCTCGTAGAGCACGGAGGCATGTATATCGAAGTCTTCGATAAAACGACTGTAGTAATTTAGGCTTCCCAAGAATGATTGCATTGATCGCAGAGTTCGAGGGAAGGGATTATTCGCAATTGAGTTTAAATCCTTGGGGTGGGCTTCCAACCCTTTGTGTGAAACTTGGTGGCCTAGGTAGTCAACCTTACAGCGCCCCTAGAAACGCTTTGCCACACTGATCGATAGGTTCCATCGATCACACACCTCTACCAATCGTTCCACCTTTTCATACAGGGATGACCAGGATTCAGCAGGTATCAAGATGTCATCGACATAAAACCTTCGGCCTAAAACTGATGGTCTTGGATCTGTGTCCAGCACTCCGTCAGTGAACACATCGGTTGGTGTCGATGATGGTACTGCATGCGAGTTAGGTGTTGGGTCGATCTTGACATATCCATTTAGTGCTTGTCGATAAGTCATGGGTATATCTGGGGAGAGTTTTCAGCCCAAAAGGCATTCGCAACCATTCAAACAAACCCGACGGCGTGATGAATGCAGAAATAGATCTTGCTCGTTCCGTCATTTCCACGACCCATAGACCACACGCCTTTTTTAGCGAACAATGCCACATCGCTTTATCTAAGTCTTGTAATAATTCGCTGATTAGTGGCAGGGGTGTATTATCAATCTTGTCAGCTGAGTCATCCTCCTGCAATTGATGCACAGCCGTATGTCCTCCCCTTTTTTCTTGATAATCACCACGATCGGAGAAGCCCAAGGTGAATTGGACGGTTGAATGATCTTGGCTGAGAATAATCCCTTGATCAGGTCCGCCAATTTTTCTCGATATTTAATTGCCACCGGCCGTACTCTTTGCGCGATCGGTTTGGCACCTCCTACATCAACGTCACATACTGCTCCACGCGCAGCTGGAGGCAAGGCGTTCCCTTTGCCTTTAATTAAGTGGCGATTTTTCCGAATTCGTTGCCATAGCTTCTCCTGATCGTCTATCAGTGGGACACCCGTATCGCCAACCTGGATGTCATATATAGCCACTTTTTTGTGGGCGCAATTATTTCTGGCAAGAGTGCCATCAATTAGTCAAAATCTTTCGCAAATAAATCACCACTATCGTGGCGATAAGCCACCGATTTTGTTTGAGTCTCGTCTGTCATGTCTCCATAGCGTTCTAGTACTGTAGCATTCTGTATCTTTTGATCTGACAATTCGAGCTCTTGATCTTCTCCGACCGGGTGATCATCGCCGATCGCGATCTCTTGTGCTTGTCTGATTACGTCGTCCGAGTGTTCCTGTGACCGAAATCCCTCTTCTGCCTCCACTGCGGTATTGACCACGGCAGGTGCCTCTAGTGATCGCTGCTCGTCGCTGTCGGGGCGATCCTCTTTCACGATCTGGCGTTCTGTGACATCGGTCATCTTTGCTTGTGGAGCTAGCAGATCGGATTTGCTTCCCTCCATATTCATTCCTTGTTTATCTCTGTGTGTCAGGGTCTTCTTTGGGATGGGGCATGACGGGTGATTCACTAAGTGCCTTATATGCTCAATCGAGTGTTCCTTGATTGATTCCGTTGTAGCTTCAAACGCCAGAGTCTGCCTTTCATTACACCGGCGTGATCCAACTGATACATAGCCCGGCGATCGGGGTATAATGTCCGTCATCATCCACCACTCTAAAGGGATATCGTGATTGAGAATCACGTGCTGATAGACGGTGTTGGTCAGTATAAAGTACTTATTTGGCCCGGTCCAGTATTCACCGTCGGCACCCATTTTTTATCCTGTCTCACCCATAGTTTGGACATCGGGAAACCTGGTCCAATCCTTATCACCGTGGATTCTACAGCAGGAATTACTGTATGTGGGTCCGGGATAACGATCGGTTGCATATTTACCCCATACGGAGGCCTGCGTCCTGCCAAGCGAATTTTCACCTCATCTGGCAAACAAAGCGTACCGGCCGCCAGATCTAACCGTATTCCCGCTGGCACCGTAAAGCCCATACCTAAAATCGCTTCTTGGCCCACTTGATCGCCCACCCAAACGTCAAAGTAATGCAACAGCGTTCCGTTTATTGTGATCTTGATTTTGGTGCGTCCTTCCGTCATGTAGGCATTCTCCCCGAATCCCACACATTCCTGTCTCTGGCTGTCATTAATCACACATCCCACCTTACGAGAAAAGGTGGCGTCTATGATTGTGACTTCGGCTCCAGAATAGAATAGCATGGTTGCCTTCTCGTTATTGATTTTACCCACCGCTTCAGCCTGTTTAAACCATTTTCCTGGCGTGTGATGATTCCAATATCCTCTCGATTCCCCCGGCGCTAGATCGAGTTGTTTATTAACGGGAGATCGTAAATGTTCATCCACCCTTTTTACACTTGAAATGTTACACAAACGATGGTGTTCCAAATCGCATGTATTAGCGGTCGGGTCGATCCGATTGTTACTCCCTTGATCGATCCTGCCCTTCTCCACAAATGCATATATGCATAGCCTAGAACGCTCGGCTCGTGCCAGATTCCATCCTGGCGAGCGTCCTAGTTTAACATCTCTTCTGCCTTGGTCGGTAGTAGTCCTGCGTGTTTGGTTGGGACGTACTACTTGCGGATCAGTCTGTAGAACTCTTCCATGAAACATTGGCCGCTCTCGTGAACTTCCCCACAAGCGGAACACACATGTAGACATTTGTCCGAGGGGTGCCCTTTCGCCCACACTTCTGACAGGTTAATCTTTTCCGTCACCCGCGATTGTCAACTCTTTTTTTGAGCCGCAGTGTGTGCAGGCTTTCGCCACTCCGCCCCGATAGCGATCATAATCTCGGTTTGTCTTTCGCGATCCGTCTCGTTGATCCTCCGGGTCTGAGGCCTGATCAGTGATAGTCGTCACACAAACCTTATGGCGAAAATCTACTTCATCTGCACCGTCCGAACTTGAGCCTGTGTCGCTTTCCTCACTTTCTGTTCAAATGGTCTTCACCATCCGTGGTGTCTTCGAATATACTTGGGCTGGCGTCGTAGCCGATCGCGATCGGTACTTGTTCAATTCAGTCGGATCCTCATTCTGTCGAAAGCTCATACGCTGATAAGCGCGTAGAGTTTTTTTCATCGTGTTAGCATCGTGCACTCGCAATAGGGTCAGTTGTTTCGCCAACTCTCGATCATCCAAAGTGTCAGTGAAGTGTTGTACATGCTCACGTCGGCTTGCTTGCGATCCATCTCTGAACGCCACTCTTGCTCGCTTTCCTGCTACATTTAACCGGTCCACGTATTCCAATGGGGTTTCATTCGGTATCTTCCGCACGTGGTAGTATTGTCTTCCTGCTAACAATCCATATCCCCCAAGTCGGACCATGAAGCCTTCCGACAACGACTTTCAATCATCGCGGGTCGATCGGCTTGACTGGCTGTACCAATTTCTGGCAGGTTCTGTGAGCAGGTCTCCAAATACCAGACATTTCTCGTCGTCTGGAGCCTGATCGCGTAGAAAGGCAGTCTTTATCTTGTTAATCTAACCTCTAGCACGTTCTTTGTCATGATCACGTCCCAAAATATTTTTTAGATCGGCCATCGCCGACAATCTAATCCTCTGTGCGCTGAAACCTCCCGTAGGGGCGGTTCCTGTAGTTTTCACTTGTGGTCGTCTTAGATCTTATGGTCCCCTGCGATCTGACTCATGTTCTCTCTGTCGATCGCGGTATGAGTCTACTGACTCCATTTTGACGTCCGGGACGATCGGGTAGTTACCTCTTTGTTCTTCGCGATCGCGAATGAATTTGTCCATGGCGGCCTTGGAACATTGTTGCAACTGGCTTGGCTCCACCGTGTTTGCATTCTGTGAAGCCGGAATTTGAGTCGATCGCATTCCATTGTTAGCCGTGTCGAGCCTGTTTTTAAGCTTTGCTGCCCCTGTCGGTACCAGCGACATCCGCTGCATCCCAAACGACTCGTCTGAGCCCATATCTGATTCTGCCGAGGCATAGCGTGACGACCCCGTGTATTCCTCTTTCACTTTGCGGTCGGTTGACTCTCTCCCTTGGCTCAGGTGTTCTTCCTCTCTCTCGACTTCCTGGCTTAGGTGTTCTTCTTCACTCTTGATTCGCTGGCTCAGATGTCCCTTTTCACTCTTGATCCGTTGGCTCATAGGGTTGCGAGACCCTGTCAGTGGAGTTAGCTTATCGAATAGTAGCTGTCAAGCTTTGATCACCTGATCGTGATTAAATTCTTAGAGCGTTTGTGCGTCGAAATATCCAGCTGTAAAATCGGCGTCTCTTAGCAGCTGAATAAGCCAATGCAATGCCTCCAAATGATTCGAGGTCACTTTCGGTGGCGATGCTGGACCTTGAGTCGACCCGATCAGCTAAGGTTTCAGCACCTTTAGGACTATGTCTTCTGCGAGAAGTTTCCGTAGTTGTTGCCAATGGAATTCCCAGGTGATCCATTCCAGTTTCCAGCCTTCTGATTCCACATCCTGACCTTCTGCCTCGACCTCTTGCTTATTTTGATGTGGCTCAGCCGTCTTCGTCTTTGAACGGGCCAACTTAGGAGTGTGTTTCCTCTCCTTTGGTTGGGCGGTAGTTTTGGGTGAAAATTCTCACTTTTTACTGAAGGATTTCCATCTGGCAGATCGTGCTTTGCAGCGCGATCCGCGGTGGGACTGAAGGGACCTCAGGAGAAGGTTGAGGTTTTTCTTCCAGATCAGCTTGGTGATCTTCTTCTTTGACTGTCTTGTCGTCATAGACCCTCCCAAAACTATGATGATCTCGGGATCCTTTCTCTTCGCGCGTCTTTGGCAATCTAAATTCCGCTGACGCTCCAATCCCAGGTTCATTCTTGATCACAACATTTTCATCTCGGGACTCACGGTGAAATAGCGAGTCACCAGAAGATCCGGGCACGCGCACCATTGTGGTGGAGTGGGATTCGCTCATTTTTGAGGCGATCCCGACTCCCCACTGGCGCCCAGACGACCGACTAAAGGAGGGGGTACTCCGATTCCGCTTGCACTTGTCTCCTCCTCATATTGTGTACCCATCGGCAGGGCGGGTTGCACTCTTCTAGGTGGACTCAACGAGAGTATAAACTTGACCGTTGTAGAGATTGGTGCTGATCGGGTGGAAAATCCTCACCCGATCGCGTGTTCTGGGTTGGCGCTCTCCTATAGTCACCGTGATCAGCCCTGATCACTTTGTGCCAAAATGTGTACTTGAGTCGCGAGCCTTTCTGGCCACTTGAGCCGTCTCGCGACCTTGTACTTCAACCGATACGGTTGGCTGCGTCCGATCGCAGTAGGGGTGTGTTGAGAGTCCTAGCACTCCTGGCCAAATAGCTCCAGGAGTGATCATTCTATCCTTGATGTCGAGATTCTCAGACATCGGGAGGCCAAAATGTCCAACCCGGGAGAAGATCGACACGAATGTGTTTAGAAGAAAATTAAACTCTGTTTACTGTTAACCAATCAGACCCTCACGCCTTACCCATATAATTCAGAAATCATATGCCACGCGTCGCCTCTACAGATCGTCCTTGTACCTATGTGGCACAGACCTAACACACCAACTGTCTGATCGCATCAGGGCTTGGTCCACGCCAGATCGCGGTCCCTTGATCGTGGTCTCTTGATCGCGGTCCCTTAACCGCGGTCACCTGATCGCGGTCCGGAACCGTTCTGACTGAATGAGATACTTCCGTGAATGATCCCAACGGTGTCATCCATGTGATTGGTCCTCGTCCCACGATCGTTCCGCCGGTTCCCACTCCGTACTTAGGCATACGTTTGAGGTTTTACGACACCGAGCTTGATCGACTTTACCACACTGTCACATACAGCGGCAAAATCAACGAGCCTGAGCTACGGTTGATGACTGACTAAAGGACGCCATTCAAGACCGAGCTGACCAACACAACTTTGATCAAGGGACGAATGTAATTATCCGCGGCTGCCAAGTGTGGCTTTATTTGAATTGAGGGAGGGAGGGATATGCCAGGAAGCTGGCTCACATGTGGCACGGCCCGGTTCGGGTGATCGAGAAGTGCGGGGAACATGCAGTGCGGGTGGAGGTACGAGGGATCCCATACCGATTATTTTCACTCGTTCACGTATCCAAGCTGAAGCTAGACCGAATTTCCCTGATCGGCCTGCTGCGCGGCTGGAGGTCGAAGAAACAGAGCGTTTTGATTTTAACGAAGCTTTGCTCTCAGAGGACAGCTGGGAAAAGGATCTAGCCGAAGGAGAACAAGAGGTGGATAGTAGCCGAGATGTGAGAACAGGACGAAAGAATTTGTACAAAAGGGTACACCGACAGTTCCTGGTCCGATGGAAGAGTCATAAGGATGAGACATGGGTGGATGAGGCAAACCTCAATTGTAGGGCTTTATTGCTAAAGTTTGAACTTGATCGAGCCAGGCGAAACCGTTTTGAAGTAATGCAAGTACATGAGGAAGAACCCAGCTGTTGGGGTGACCAGTGAGGGTGACCGCGGCCTTGAAGCATGGGGACTGTATGGTCTGTGAGACAACGAGGGATGACCACGTGAACCATGAATGTAAAGGAGTGATGCGGTCAGCTAGCATACTGACCGTACAGTTAGGATGACCAAGAGCGGTGACCGAGGCCACGAAACACTGTGACCGCTCGGTCTGCGAAAGGAGGAGAAATGACTACGTAAGCTATGGATGTACAGGAGTTGCATGGTCAAGCAAAGCGGTGTACACAGAAGCAAGAAAACATGGTGAACAGACTACAATAGAAGTGATTTTAACAAGCAGCTACTGGTGGTAATGACTCTTACCATAAGCGTCACGGTCTCTCATGCTAAAGACGACCTTTCACTGCGATACAAACTTGATTTGGAGACGGTCGATGGACGAGCCTGGGTGTTCAGCAATGGCTGCCCGATATTGATTGCGCCAGGGGTCAGCAAAATCCGCAAGGAGTAAGGCTGAGGCCAGATTCGGGATGTTGGTCTGTCGAAATCCAAACCCTAGCTACCACCATTATTTTTCAAACCTTCCTGGAAAATGCAGGAAGAAAGCGTTCAATAGGATGTTGAGGTCACACTGACCCCCGGTCAACCCCTCCAGCACGATCAAGGGTACAGCATTCCACCGGGGGATGGACTAAGAGCGCCGACGACGCCTTTCTTCATAGAAGACGCTCAGTACAGGGTCTTTCGCGCGACTTGGACACACGATGATCGGGAGCACATGAGTAGACTACCGTAACGCTTGGCGATGATGGTCTTCGAACTCACGATACGCGGCCATCAAAGCATGGAAACATCCAGTCGGGCGGAATGACACAGGCGCAATAGGCCGAACCAAGACGTCCCAAGATTTTTGGCTGTATAAAGCAGCAATCTGGGCGGAGGTCACTAGCCGCGGGGACAACTGAGCTTTAGTTGGCGGATGCAAATAATCTTCCGGAACGGGGAACTGGTAGTGCTTAGGCAGGGATTAGTGGTGGAACAAGAGATCCAAGTCCATGTGACCTACAGGGATTAAGTCCAAGCGATGGGATGACCACGGCGAAAACTGGCCAGGGGCATAAGTTGCACGAGTGCGGTACCCAGGCATACACTTATCGCGCGAGGACCGCACGGGGGGGGGTAAAGCCTTGAAGGCGATCGGGGATAAGCGCTTTTTTACTGGGGCATGACCGTAGTTTGGTACCCTCACCGACACATCGGACTCGTCGGAAGCCCTGGATGGCTCTGCGGTTGGAGGTGTCGCAGCGATGGGCGGCGACCGGGAGACGGCTGATGAAGTACGAGTAATACGTCTTGACGGAGCCGGACGAGTCGCGGGTGCATGACTGGCTGGATCGATCTCGATCGGAGTGTCAGCCAACCCATCAGCAGATCTTGTTTTCGAGGCAGAAGACCGCCGTCGAGCGGAAGAACCTGACCGTGACAGTGCGATGAGCATGGCCACGTCAGCAGATTCTACGGGACCGTCTCTATCCTGCGCATGAGATGCGGAGGGGAAACGCGCTCGTGTTTGCGTCTGTGACCGCCGAGTCACATCAGACGGTGGCGTGGTCACGGTCATGGGCTTGGAAGATACTTTGGTCAAACATGCTGGAATCTTGGGGACGTCGAGGCGAGGGAGAGACGCCTGTCGGGACTTGGAGTAAGTGGATACCAATAATAAATGGGTAGTTGGGCCGGCGGGACCTGCAACCGTAGACGAAGGGCTGGCAGACAAATCTGGTCCGACCACAACGCGAGGATGACCGGGGGAATTTGAAGTGGATCGCTGTTGGGTCACATGGTCTACGGGCGGGACCACGGCAGATGGAAACCTAGAAGCCGAACTCGAGGTGACCGTAATGCGCGCACGCTTGTTCGGGGGTGACACAGGAACGGCCGCTGACTGCTCTCTCCACCGCTGCTCATGGGCGAGCCCCACCGACGGCGGAAGACCTATAACGAAGTTGACCAGATGGCCGAGCTGGGCCTGGCGGTCGCGAGTATGCAAATCCCGTTCTTCTCTCAACAGTGCAAGTTCCTCAATATGAGCAGCATGAGAGGAGCGCAAACGATGAAACTCTTGATGGCTTAAAGCGCGCTCCGTGTTTGATTGGTCAAGCTCTTGACCACGTTGTGCAAAGCTGCGATCAAGCGCATCCAAACCTGTTCGCAGCGAAGCAACACGCTGTTCACTTTCAGCACAAAGTTGTTGGACGCTCCACAATCGACTAGAGCTCGAAGGGACAACTTATTCGTCACTTCGAGTTTCATGGCAATGAGTGAGATCTCATTACCTAGAGCAGCAACGCACAACGTTTGTGTGTTGGGAGCAACTTTATCAAGAGGCCCACAAATTCTCTTGGTCAGGCTCGGTAGCGTCTGGATCAAGGCCAGTGTAATCTTCGTCATCAGGAGCAGGGGTGTCCAACCGCAGCGGAGTCAGCTGAGGAGACTACGAACCTGAAGGCAGTAGTTGCTTAACGGACCGGTGACATGGCGGTGACATTTTCAGCAATGATCAGGGGAAGGCAGATCAAAAAGTGCTCAGCCAGATTGGCACCGGCTGCCGACTAACAGATTAGGGGACGACTTTTGTGAAGTGGTCAAAGGAAATCCTGAACAATCGCCTTGACCACCTCGTAACTGCATGTGGGACCGGTCATGCCGGTCTTGGGACTAACCACTACAGAAATCTTCAACGATAAGCTGGACGGTTTGCAAGTCATCAGAGGCGGTCACAGATTATGACCACCGGTTAAGTTCATGACGAATGACTGACCGGTCATGGTCACTACGGGCGACCAGTGGTCATAATTATGATGAGTGACCAGTAGTCATGGTCATGATGGGTGACCAGTAGTCATGGTCACGATGGGTGACCAGTGGTCATGGTCACTGCAAGATGACCAGCGGTCATGCTGGCAATTAAGGTGTTTTACTTCAAGAACAGGGAATGGGTGGTGGCAGGCGAACAGCGTAGCATAACACTGAGATAAAGAGAAGTGTAGACGTAGTTATAGCCCCTAATAGGTTAATAACGACTAGCATAGATTTTACTACAAAAGACACGCGTCAGCGTTCCTCTGGCTGGAATACTAGTGGCAACCCGACGTACAAAGTGTTTTGTCTACGTGTGCAAGGTTTGTCCCTAGATTGCTTGGTTAGGGACAAGTAAACTCATTCAAGTTAGCCAGCGATCGGACGCGGCAAGCATACAAGGCAAGGTCTTCAGACGGCTCAAGTGGTCAGAAGGACAAGGTGATCAAGTGGTCAGAAGAACAAGGGGGATCAAGTATCCACATTTGGGCAAGGCGACCTCAAGGAAGGTCAGGCAACTCTAGGAGAGTGCCACCAGTAACCGCTGGTCTTGTGAAGAATTACCACACAACCACACCCCACAAATATCAACTCGAATAAGACAAGACATCGACCTCGAGACACCTAGAAGATTGCAACCACCCGCCGACGGGTACACAAGGTGAGAAGGAACAAGACAAGACACACGGTCCGGAGTACCCCCTCCGTTAGTTGGTCGTCCGGGCGCAAGTGGGGAGTCAAGACCGCTACGTAAATGAGCAAATCTCACTCCACCACAGAAGCATTAACTTGGAGCAGTAGGCCATTGACGCTTGATGACGTTGACATACCATACGGTCAAGATCTAGGAAGAATTTGGTAAGAATACCAATTCCCGATCATGACGAATCGCCTCGCTGGTCCCAAAACGGCGGAAAAGGACTGTTGAAATCTCTAGAAAATTTTTCAGGCTGTCCGCGACGCGATAGTCTTTATCATTGCAGACTATATGAATTGATCAATCTGAATTAGAAATTCTATATTTCTATGTGCAACTTAGGAAGAAGCGGAACATGTTATTTTGCTATAAATTGGGAGATAGAAAAGGCCTCGATATTTACAGAGATCTTCCATTGCATGGTGGATCTACCTTTTCCGGTCTCCCAATCCATGCAAGAACACACATACATCTGCACGCTCCAAAATCGACCTTTTCTGTGACATCGATGTTGTGTGCATCGGTAAGGCATGCCCGATTTCTTGATGACCCCCTTTGAAAATCGTATGGTCGTGGGGAAGAAAGCTGAAAATTTACTTTCCAGTTTCACTAGTCTAATTGTCATGTTACTGCCCTCCCGCTCGACTCTGACTTCGTTAGATATACCGACATTACTCCCTTTTTTACATCTACGAAACTAGTAATTCTGCCGCAATTTTTATCGAATCAACTGATAAGCAGTTCCAGTACCCGTTTAAATATGCTTTTATTTTTTGAACTCGTAATCAGATCTCCTCTTCTCGCGCCTTTTGAATTTGGAAGACGCGGAGTTGTGTTACTAACTCTACTTGAATGATCTCTCCTGACATATTAATAGAAGACTGCGATAAAATTCATGCACGTACGTGGTACAGATCTTCTGGACTTTAGAACTAGCAGCTCCAGTAACGACTAATAGCTTTAAGCCTTTTTTTCTTTCCCCGGCACCGACTGGATCCCCCCTTGTGGTGCAAGGCTGTTCTAGCCAACCGAGCTGCACTATAACGTAAAACTTGTTCGGCATGTAGGATCGCAAGGAGTGCCACGGTTGGAGTGCATGTAAATCCCGGGCTTTTAGCGGTGAAAGGCCCGATGCCTTACACTCAATATAACCTCGCATCTGCCGCAAACAATTAATTGGAGTTTTTTAACGATACTCAATCTTTGCCGTTTCAAAGGTTTTAAAAACTGAATCCTGGCAACATACCCTTAATTTTTGCCTCATTTACCGTAGATGAATCAAGATATTTGGAGGCGGCTAGACTATGGTCCAAGTCGATAGTCTTGACGCGATAGCGATAGCTGCTTCCTTGCTCAACAAGGTATAACCAATTGTGAAATGTCTTGTAAATTTTTTCTTCTAGTTATAATGTGAGGTATGGAAGGTCGATTGTTTGCCTCCCCTGCTCCTTATTGACAATAGCCAAAAAATTATAAGTTTACACTCTCTCGAGGGACGATGCTGGCTGCCATGACCCCACAACCTGGTCTTAACATTTTTACACTTCACTATCTCCAGATTACACTGAGACAAGAGAGAAGTCAGTTTCTTGAGCTCCTCTTCAATCCGATAGATTTCACTAACCACTCCAATGTCGAGTGTCTGCTCACTACTCTGTCGGGGCAATTGACCAACATAGTAAAGCAGGTCTCCAGTATACACATTAAGCTAACACTTATATCTCCATAGTACTGTAATTTAGTTCGTTAGCCTTAAGGAATATGCTTGTACAAGTTATCGGCATAAGTAGTCCTTCGAAATCCTGTACTAGTGACGCCGAAATAGTCCATTCATTCGCATAAACAATGATCATGGCTTCATGCCTTAACATTTTAGTCTTGAGCATGACGAACGTTACTTGAGCACGGGTCCACCTTTCTTCGTTTTCATCCGGGAAGGTGGTATTTCTACCTTTCTTAAATTAAATTTGGTGTGCCTATAAGCCTACCACTAACAGCTCGTAGCAAGGATGCATACACAGCGAATTATTCGATAAATCTGCTGTAGTAATTCAAGCTTCTAAGAAAAGATTGTAGGGACTTCAGTGTCATTAGTAAGAGTAGGTCGGCCAGAGATTTGATGTCTTTCGTGTTAGCCTCTAGTCCTCGAATCGATATTCTGTGCCCAAGCTAGTCGACCTTTCGACATCCTCACGAACTATTTACTGAGCTAATCGATAATTTTACAGTCGCACACGTCCAACAGTTTATCCAACTTTGTGCAAAACGCAACCTACAGATCGATGGGGATCAGAAGGACGTCTATGTGTGACTGGCGACCTAGGATCGAGTAAATCGACTCACTTAGCTTGTCTGTGTCCGGGGGCTTGAGGCAGTCGTATAAAAACCATGCAAAACACTATCCAGAAATTGATAATTTGTGGTGCGTTCTTGAGCCCAGATGGCATCCGCAACCATTCAAACAGACTTAATGGATCAGTAAATACTAACATTCTTATCGCTCAGTAATACTGACTACCCAAAACCACTTTCCATGTCCAGTGATAGATATTGTAATGTCTCGTTCAAATTTTTCAGTCATTCATTAATTAGAGGCATGGGGAAGACCATAAGTTGAGTCAAGTCATTTACCAATCTGTTTTCGATACACAGACTGATGTCCACCTCTTTTTCTCTCACAATAATAAGATCGGGCTGGGATAGAGCAACTTAGAAGGCTGTATAATATTTGCAGATTACAGTCCTTTAATCAAGTAGGCCAACTTCATTTAGGTAAAGTTGAAAGCCACTTTACGCACACGTTGTGCGATCAGCTTTGCTTTTTCTACATCAAAACCACATATAGACCCTCAAGCTGCTGGTGGTAAGGCAATTCATTTCAGCATCACCAGATCTCGCTTTTCATAGTAACTTTTCCTAGCTGGTTTTTTCTTATTTAAAGTGTTTCCACCGGATCAGGGTTCTGTATACATTGACACGCATGGTCTCAGAGTAGGGGATGACCTCCGATCTGATTGCCTTCGGCCCACAAGTATCCAATTTTGAATGTGCAAACTTGTTCATCGCTCCGTGGCGATTCGTTGGTCTTGGATTCCTCTCATTGATCTCCACCGGTGAAAGAACGTGGGACGACTTTGTTCTTGCGGGATTCCTTGTCGTAAGTACACCTCGTCTACGCGTCACTGTTCTTTTATCTTTAAAAGCTGCTGGTCTGACACATTCATCATTGGTATTGGGCCTTAGAATGATGTCAAATGTGCACTGGTATCTTAGACCACGGCGTCTCCACCAGTGGTGTTTCTTCTTCATCCTCAAGGCAAATTTATGGGGGAGGTCGACCTGGTCGGTGATAGCTTCAAACGCCAATCTTCCGCCACTCCACGTACCTTCGAGAGCATACCGGTACGAAACCTTGTGCTCTCGTTTCTTAATCCTTTGTCATCCACATAACTATCTACGAACCATCGACGAGTGGATCAACGTTGGGCACCTTCAGCTATAGTCGAATTCCTATCCTTCGGTTCATAGTTGTAATTAATTGCTCTCCTTTTGTGGCCCATGTCGTCCGTTGGTCTGAGTTAGACTTATTTAAAGGGATCTTCACATATTAAACAGCCCGTACGCGGGCATATTATCCCATTTTAACATCTGGGCCTCGATTATAGTAAACTTTTTCTGATCCAGAGAGTTGTAACCAGACTACGTTAAAGATGTAGATATTTCCGTCAAAACCGCCGGGATACCACCCAGGTTCATTGAATACATTGATAAGATCGCATCCTGACCAACTCTATCTCCTACCCACACCTTGGGCGCATGCACTAAATTTATAATTAGGGTGACCTTGATGCGGGTACGCCCTTTTGTTAAGTATACCGTTTCTCAATGCAAACGTATTCTTGTCATTCGCTTTCGTCAATATGGCAGCCTATCTTTTAAGCAAAGGCGACATCCAAAATGAATATTTCGGAGTCAGTTGTAACGGGGATAGAACAACACGTACTTAGCTTACACTATTCTACGCTTTGAGGAAGCCTCAAAGCTAAGCCTTTGACATTGAGTACTTTCAACTCTGTTTTATATTTTGTATTTTAATCATCCTAAGTACGAATGATACCCTTGGACTCATAAGAACCACTCAATCTACGTGTCTACATCTTGCTGGCTAATAATGGTACTGAGCCCATAAAACCAGCTAAAATGAACGACGTGCTACTTTCGCTACTTCGAAAGTAACACCCCTACTTAAGCAACATGTAAAATTAATCGAAACTACTTTTGTAACGGGGTGGCTTATTACATCACCCCCTTCTCAAGACAGCACTCACGAACCGTGATTGCTCAACCACAAGACCCAACGGACGCACAAGCCAAACGATGACTGATGACGAAAAACGCCAACACCACAGCACTCCCGCGCACTGTCAGCGGGAGTTCGATTGACCACGTGACGGATCAGCACCTGATCCCTTTAGCTCTGTACGACTTGGCCGGATCTCGAGCTCCGGACTCTCTTGAGACGATGCAGGATTACTTCCGGCGTTTCTGTGGATTGCGTGGGAAGTATCTTGATGGTATCGCGTACGAGTCAATCCAGCGGTCTTGGTGTGCATTCATCTGGCGGTCGAACGGATGCTCGAAGACAAAAGAAACTTTCAGCAGTGGCTTGCCAATCGCGAACATATCCACGCCGACCACTCAATCGATGTATTGTGCGAGAAGATATGCGAGAACGCGTGGAACGTATATCGACTCTGCTACGTTCACGTGCACGAATCTTGTTACTCTTGTGACTTGATGCCTTGTCCAACTCACGAAACTTGGCAACGACACGTCACTGAGTATCCACTCAGCGAATAAGAACAGCTCTGGATCGAACGGGATGAGCGCAGCTTGATGGAGCGCAAGACCGAGGTTAATCGTGGCGCGTTACGCTGGCGACACCACTCGCGTTCTCGAGGTCGTGGTGCCACGCGCTCGTCAAGACGTTCTCGTTCGCGTGGTCGTGGCGATACACGTTCAACACGACGTTCTCGTCGTCGTTCTTCATCTCGTCGTCGCGGTGACGTTTCACCACGACGTTCTCGCAATCGCTCTTGGTCTGGTAGTCGTATTGACGCTTCACCACGACACAGTCGTCGTTCGTCTCGTTCTCGCTCAACGCGAGAACACTCAGGTCGTCGACCAAATCTGAACCAAGCGTATGCACGGACTCGAAAGCCCGAACGACGTCTGGAACGTCTCGAAGAAGCAAAGAGCGCGGCTCCCACGTTGAACACCCAAACTAACGTACACGATACTTGCGCGCGGATGGAACCGCGCGCTCATGGAGTTGCGACAATTTTTATTCGCGACGAGGGTCCTTGTGACCCAATAAGTGTTCCACGATCCAGCGCTTCTGACCTTCCGCGTCCACAAGCGGTAGTGGGCCCTCGCGATGGTACTGCTGGCGTCCTGGTTGCCAAGGGCGATGTAGACGCGGCTCTAGCAAGGCTTTCGATGCCCAGATGGAAGCTGAAGCTGCCCTTGATCGAGCTGCGCGGGCTGAGAGAACAGCGAGGGAGATTCGACAGTCGAACCGCAAGCTGTTTGAACGGAGTCGGAACCTGGAAAGCCAGGTTATTGAGCACGCGCAGGCTGGGACGGAGCCGCGTCCGATGTCGCTGGCGCGTCGAGCAAGGCGTGAGGGAAGGTCGAACGATGAGCCTTTGACTTCGAGGACGGAGCCAACCCGTAAGACGTAGCTGGACAATACTCCATGAGCCACCCGATGTAAAATGTCGGGTGAAGTCGCAGTGACGAAGGGATGTCCAGCGTGTATGCGTCGCTGATCGCCTTGAGTACCGTAAATGGTCCGATGAAACGCGGCGCAAGTTTGCTCGCGCCGAGATTGATTGCTGCTGAATCTCGTAGGCCTTCAGTAGATCACAATCCACGATCACCCTTCTTGAATGTACTCGTGTTCTTTCTGCCACGTTTTCGGCATTTGCTTTCTGTTTATCCACTGCAGATCGAAGAGTATCGCGTACAAACCTCGTGATGGCTTGGCGTTGGAGTATAAACTGTGGCACAGCTATGTCATCAATTGGTCGCGCCGATTCTATCGGCGCGTAGTTGGCTTGAGGTCTTCGCATAACCGAAAAAGGGTCAATCAGCGTCTGTGCAGTCCTTTGAGCTAGCGGGGACGCCACTTCACATAATGTCAAAACAGAAGGCTTCTTCTTGGATTGGGTGACCAAAAATGCGCTCAGAATACCGTGAGCTGCATTCAATTGCTGTTTACCACTATCGCCCCCACCCGCCAGAGTGGAGCCACAAAGAGCCGTGGATAGACCCACGGAAAGAAGCGTAGGTACACGAGGATGACGGGACGAATTAGCAAAAAATAGCGTCAACCCCATTGACGCGTGAACCGCGTTGTTAAGTGCAAACTCTGCGAGTGGAACAAATCCACTCCAACTCGTAAAGAAAGTGCCTTAACTTTGAAGAACATCTTCGAGGACCCGATTAACCCTCTCTTTTTTGCCCATCCGTTTCCGGATGGGCTGCTGTCGACATTTGCAGCTTTGTACCAAGGAACTCGAACAATGACGTCAAAATAGCAGATGTGAAACAAAAATCACGGTCCGAGATAATGTTGTCTGGTAGACCGCGATGGTGAAACACAGTGTAAATGAAGTGCACCGCGGTCACAGCAGCGGTGATCGTTGCATGAACAGGCACCAGATGTGTCATTTTGCTGAAACTGTCCACAAAGACCAGAATACCCGTTCCAATTTGGCCATATGGTGCAAGCCCGAAGATATAGTCCATTGAAACTGAGCGCCAAGCCTCAGCTGCAATTGGCAGGGGTCGCAGGGGTGCCAGCGACGATGGAGATGGCTTCACGCGCTGACATATTTCGCAGGTGCGAACCCAGTTGCGAACCCACTTGTACATGTGGGGCCAGAAGAAGTCACGTGAGACAGCCGCGAATGTCTTTTCGCGACCCAGATGACCGCCAATTGGGGCATCATGGTACTCATGGATGATGCGAGCACGCAAAATCAAGTCATTCGCAATCACCGTTCGAGGTGCATCGAATTTATCGATGCTGTGCAACAGCAAATTACCATCTATACTATATCGTTGAATGTGTTTCACGCTTTGTTCGCGAAAGAGGTCCCAGTGCAGCATCACTGGGAGCGCGCAGATAGGCAACAATGTCCGCGTAATCCGGATCTTTCGCGTAAGCCGCAACAATTTCATCGTGAAGGCATAACTCTGGTGTGACCCGAGTGACGTTTCGTGTTTAGAACTTACACGCGCTTATAAGTGTCAGTCAATATCTGGACAAACTGAAACATGTGGTCAGCTGGAACTCGCAAATCTTTTCCTTAAAGAGATACATCGAGGTTAAGTCCAATTCTCTAGTGTGCTCATGGGCGAATACGCTATCATTGGTATGTTGAAGTCTCTAAGCAGAGACCAGCAACATGCTGCTATTAACAAGTTCCTACAAGGGGAACTTGCAGTCGAAAACAGAAGGTAGCCTTGCTACAACAGCAAGGCTCTCACCAGTCGATGGGCGGGCCGACGCCCATGTTTCGACCCGAAACCTTGAAGATTGATATCTCAAGGTACAAGGGAACCGATGAAGATTCCCTTTTGAGAAGGTTCGTCGAGTTAGACGATGCCATCAGGGCCCGTCACATCGAAGGGGACGAGATGCAAATCACCTTCGCCCTCAAATTTGACGGGACGAGCAAAGGCTTGGGCCTATGGGCTCAAGCTTCACGATCCAAACGTGTTTGAGTCGTTGGAGACTTCACAGTCTCGGCTCAAAGAAACGTTTGAGCCGCCGATAGCCGAGTCCAGAGCACGCTCTGCACTCTTGAGGGTCAAGCAAGGTAAGCGTGACGTGCGTGCTTAAGCACAACATCTTCGCTACCTTTAGAGCAGCATCACGAAAAACACTGTTGATGAGCTCACGCTCATCAACGTGTTCATCTAGGGCCTTGTGGATGAGCCGTTAAAGACCTACATGTTCCGAGAGGACTTCCGTATGCTGAAAAAGGCGATAGCGTATGCGGAACAAGAAGGCTTCATCCTGAGACAGTCTCAGCTAACTAGTCAAATCATCGTCCGACAAGACGACACGAAACAGGAGGTCCAGAACCAATGGACCTCTGTTACATCGAGAGCAAGAACTCTCGCTCTCTAAATCACAAGCGAACGGCAAGATTACATCGCTGTCACAAGATTGGACACTACACTCATGAGTGTAGTGTCCCGAGCACCGCATCACGTCCACGGACAAACCTGATAGCCGCCATTGTCCTAGGAAGGGTCCGAGGCGTCGGTCCGACCATGCGTCAAGCCGCGACAGCAAGTCGGACCGCCAAAAACGGACAGATTCAGTAGAGGCGGAGCACTCTGCTGATCCAGCAACGTCAAGAGAATTTGCAGGACTCTTGACGAAGATTGCTCCCAACACACGGTCATTGTGTGTTACTGCCTCCCGTGATGAGGAGTCCCTCATCACTTAAAAGATCGAAGTGACAAGTGGAATGTCACTTCGCGCCCAAGTTGACTGTGGTGCGTCGAACAGTTTCATTCGACGTCAGTCGCTAAGGTAAAGTAGTCTCAACTATGATGAGCGAGATATTCCTCTAACGAGAATGACGGTATGCCTTGCTACAGGCGCATCCGTAATAGTGAACAAATGTGTAGTGGGAATCCACTACACACTAGAAGGAAAAAAATACGATGATCACTTTATCGTATCAGATTTGGATGACAAATTTGATGTCATCCTTGGTCTGACATGGCTTAGAAAGTACCAGCCATGAGTTAGCTGGAAGCATCGATCCGTGAAGATGCCTGCCGTTTGTTCATCGGATGGCCATCTGATGAACGTATTGGAGCGTCCACAAGCGTGTGGATGTACTACGAGTGAGTGCGATGGCCTCACTTGTGATGCGGTAGGTAGTATGACTGCACAAGATCACAGTGTAGAAGGCCACTACACTGTGGAACCAGCTTCCGGCACCTGTGCAGAGACACAGGCTGCGCAGAAGGTTCACCACTCGACGAGATCGAGTGGACTGGAACACGGATGCACACCAAGAAGGGTGCATCCAAGAAGAGAAATTAGTATTGTTCAGGATGAATAGCACGTTAAAGAAAGATCTACTAACAGAGATTCGATCGTAGAGCAAGCCCGATCGACTGAAAGAAAGTCCATCGAAGAGGACTTGACTGTGGTAGTACAATCACAGTCAGTACACGTATTGTAGGAAAGTTTCAGCGTTCCTATGAGTGATAACTCCCGAGAGAGTTATGTTGAGGGTGTGGATGCCCGACCACCTGCGCATGTGTTTTACCAAGAAATCACCGAGACAGTGAATTTTCTGGTGAATGACGGATCAAGTGTCGGCGCTTATACACTTGATATGGTGACGCCCCCGAAGTCAGCTTCGGAGGCGGTCAAGTTGCCAACGCTAGAATCCAAAAGATTCTTGCAAGATCTGCGTAGTGACAAGATCAAGCAGATCTGCATGCTCATCACAGAGGACGAGTACGTCGCCGATATTCGGTCGGTACAAGTGTTTGCTGAGAACGAACAAGCCCTCGGTAGCTCATTGATGGATGAGAATTTCCTCGATGAGAAGAATTAGATTGAGCGGTACACTTCTCAATATTGAGATCCTTTGCAGATAAATCCTTTGAACAAGGATTTAGTCGAATACAGGGATGTTTTCCCTGAATCCGCGCCATGCGAGCTGCCCAAGGACGAAGGCATTCGGCATGAGATCGTACTGAAACCGGGTTCGAAATACTGAGTCATGAAGCAGAGGCCACTGCCTCGTGAACAGGTCACAGCGATTGACGAGTCTTTTCCGATCGTTTAGCGGCTGGTCACGTGAGGGGATCAGCATCCCTGCACAGCTCTCCGACCTTCTGTGTGCGAAAGGCCACAGGAGGGTGTCGGATAGTGCACGAGTTTAACAGATTGAACGCTGCGACGGTGCCGGCTCAAATGCCGAAACCGAGGAAGGACGTCATCATTGATGAGATTGCAAAAAGTACCTTTTATGTCCATGGATCTGATGGATGAATTGTACCTTTTTTGTCCATGGATCTGATGGATGAATTCTACAAGATCCTCATGCTTGAACGGGACATCTCGTACACAGCAGCGAGAAACCCCAGTGTTATGCTCTGGGAGTGGAAAGTTATGCCACAGGGGATAAGTAAAGCCTTTGCAACGTTCAGCAGATTTGTTACGATTCTGTTGCGATCGGTCCGAGATTTTGCACCGAGTTACTTCGAGGATGGCTTCGTCCATAGCCGGGCTATGGATGGAAATACGGACGTGGAGGTTTGTAGAATCCACGTCTGGAAGGTTCTAACACTTACGCTTGAGCATAAGTTGTTCGTGAATCTCAAGAAATGTGCATTCACAACGATCGAAATGCCACTTCTTGGCTGCATCAATAATAAACCGGTGTACGCCCTGATCCGGAAAAGATCAAGGCGAATAGCGACGGCCTGTGCTAGTAGACGTCAAGGGACTTCGAAGGTTACTTGACTTGTCGGCGTACTTACACAAGTACTCGCGCAACTACGCCGAGATGACCGTATATCTCTCTCGTCTGCTAAAGAAAACGAGAGGTGGTCATAGAGTGATGAGTGTCAGCACTCTTTCGAAGGGATGAAGATAAATTGATATAGTCGCCTGTGTTGGCGATTGCAGATCAGGATAGACCATCAGATGTGGTCTGTGACGCCAGCAATTTTGCGAATTAGATGCGCTTAATGCAGTACGACTCAGGCGGCGTTAAGCGCGTCGTGTGTTATCAATCGTGTCAGCTGCAAGCAGCTGAGCGTAATTGCCCGGTGTATGACAAGGACTCCATGCCAAGAAATATGCAACGGACAAGTTTCGGGTATATCTCTTAGGAGATAGGCCCTTCATCGTTTATACCGACCATGCGTCGTTACGCACGGCCGTAAACAGGCCACACCTCTCGCAACTAATGGCGAGGTAACTGTCTTTCTTCGCGGAGTGCAACTTCTCCGTCCAGTGTAGACCAAGACGACTTAATGTCGTCGATGATGCTCTTTCGCGTCAGCCCGATTGAAAGCCGACTGCTCAAACACAACAGTAGGGGTGATCCCACTGTAGCGACACTAACAGTGAGTGTTCCGTCGTCGAATCTGCTCAACGACGTGCGAAAAGCATACGCAGAAGATGAGTCTCTTCTGCGATTGATGGATCACGTATCCAATCCATGCAGTCAAGCTTTGAAAAGCTTGTCGTCTCAATACCGCTCTTCACCGAACGGTATTCTGCTCGTGATGAAGTGCTGTACTATATAATATCAAGCGGCGTCACACTTCGTGTCGTCGTCCCCGCTCATGATGATTTTCAATTTCGCATCATGTATGAGTGTCACGATGCCCCAACAAGTGGGCATCGCGGTAGAGAAAAGACTTACCTCACGGTAAGCCGTGACTTCTACTGGCCCCGCTAGTATGAGTTTGTGCGCAAATACATTCGCGCTTGCGAAGTTTGTCAACGGGTAAAGCCTAGTCTTCATCCCGTGCACCCTTGCAGACTCTACCGATTCCGGCAGAGTGTTGGCAGTCCGTATCGATGGACTTCGTCATTGGATTTCCCAAAGAAACTCACAAGAATACTGGTATTCTTGTGTTTGTTGATCGGTTCAGCAAGATGGTACATCTTGTTGCTGTACCGGCGTCAATCACAGCCCAGGGCTGTGCGCGTGTCTTCATCGAAACTATCTTCCGTCTTCACGGGTTACCCCGTGAACTCGTGTCTGATAGGGACCCCCGCGTCACAGCGGAGTTTTGTCAATCCGTGCATCGTTCACTTGAAACACGTTTGACGATGTCGACTTCTACCCATCCAGAAACAGATGGTCAGACGGAACGCGTCAACCACGTTCTCGAAGAGATACTTCGAGGGTACGTCCACTCGTTTACGAGCTGGAGTGAGTTCTTGCCGATGGCGGAATTTGCCATCAACAAATCGGTGCATGTGTCGACAGCGCATACACCGTTCTTCGTGAATGGCCTACGCCATCCACGTTTACCCGCCTTCTTAGAGTGTGACTCTAGTTTAAAAGAACTGGACTCGGTCGAACAAATCCCGATCTGGTTCTTGCTCATCACCCGTCGACAATGGTGTCGACGTGATGGATGCCGATATCGATCACATCGACACCGATGATGATGATGACGACGAAGCTGGTGCATTCAGCATTGCCAATGACCGCCACAGTGAGGACGATGACGCCCTCACTGGTGAAGACAACGTTCTTTCAGCAGTGCACACGAAGCGCACTGCTGTTGACAAGGATGATTCAGCAGAGGAATTTCTGCTGACTCGCGAAGCGGTTGTCCGCTTCGTTCAAGACTCTATTGCAGATGCATTGGACAGACAGAAGAGAAACGCAGACAAAAATGAAAGAGCAAATGTTCTTTCATTTATTGAAGGAGATCCAGTTTTACTATACACAGCAAATCTACCTAAACATGGAGTGACAAACGTGGGCAGCAGTAAATTATTGCACAAGTGCATCGGTCCATTTCATGTTTTGCGCCGAACGAGCAACGCAAACACGATTTAACTGCCCCGTAATATGCGTACGCATCCTACGTTTTACGTTGGACGTCTCCGCCCGTACTATCGGTTCAAGCCCGTTTAGAGAGGCGAAGACCACCTCCGCGGACGAGAGCCGAGACCACCTTCAAGTAATCCCGTTTCAACGAACCAGTCTGGTCGACCAGCGAAGCGACCTGCTCACGCACTTGAGCGATGTCCTGACGAGCTGCAGTCAGCTCGTCACAAAGAGAACGCATTGAACGTTCGTTCTCAAGTTGCGCAAAAGCAAAAGCGGCACGATCGTCCGAGAGATCGTGCGTTAGGGAATTATTATCATCCCTAAAAAGATCTTCAAGCCCATAACGCCGAGATCGTTCATGAGCCAGGTCATCTTGCAGCTGTTCCGTTAGACGGTTCAGCTCTTGAACATCAAGCTGATCCGACCCTCGATCCGGATCAGGTGTTCCCGCCACCACCACACCCTTTATTGGATTCTGGCGGTGATCAAGGCTATCTGGTGAAGCGGATCTTGACCCACCGCGACGTGAATGGCGTCCGGACGAGTTACCTCGTCCGCTGGCGTGGCTATTTACCGGCCTGGGACAGCTGGGAGCCTCGTGCCAAAATGACTGTTAGTGTCCTTAGTCTCGTCGAGCAGTGCGACTAGACCCACCCGCTGCATTCGAAGAAGGGCCGTTGGAAAACGACCTCTCCGAATGCGAGTACAGGGGTTGCAAAGTGTCAATCCCTTCGGCCATCTCAGAATAGTTGCGCGCCGTCCAGTAGGGAACATTGGGGAGGCAGGCCTCCCTAGGGGCACGATTCGAGTTGTCCAGGCAACTTGGACACGATCACCCCACGATAGAAAGGGTGATTTTGCCTCTCTTGACAGGCGGTGCAAACTTGTACCGTACACCTACCGGGTTACGCTTCTTAAACCTGATGCGAGCTGCATCAAGTTTGGCGAGCCAGGCCTCACGGCCAATGCACTCGATGCTATGGATAAGGCATTCCATCCTTGCACCAAGGCCTTTCCGTCTCGATCACGGTTTCCACTGTACCACCGATGTTTGAAAAATGCATCGGTGAAGAACTCTTCCTCAGCACGGATAGTTTCCGTGCTGAATTTAGGAGTACAGATCCTCCTACCGTCGAACAACGGAAGTCGATCCCGTTCGGTAATCATTCCGGCCAACAGGTACAACTCTTTGGATGACGGCATCCAAGGAGACTCCACTTGAGGAGCGTGGCGCAGGACATTGCGGTCTCTGGCCTCTTGAGTGGTGTCAGCACGAGCACTGACGCCAGTGAAAGCTCGATCCCTCGAGTTTCTTCGCTCGTGGTAATGCATAGGGGAATCATTACCACCACCACGCGTCCTATCGTCGGATGGACTTGCGTGAGGCGAGGATCCGTCCCAAAAATCAGTCGGTCCGAAGATCTCAGACATGATGCCGCCACGTTGACCAGAACCAGTCAAATTGGCTCATGCCGTGCACGCACCGGATGATTCGGAAGCGTGAGGTGTCACCTTCGAGTCGGATGATACATCCGACTCGCCAGAATAGATGAGCTCGATTGCGGGCTCATCGACATTGCGATTCTCAGTATTCGCTGCAGACGCAGCGGATGTATCTGTCGCACGTGGTGACTCACCACGTGGACTGTTCGCAACAGGAACCGCCTATGGCTGAATCGCAACAGCAGGCGAAGCATCACCTGCTGCTGAAGCAAGAGAAGAAATCTTTTCGGCTGCACGCGTGCGTGCGACTCCTTTTCTTGCTGCTTCGGCAGCACGTGGTACGGACTTTGACACCATGCGATGAACTGGCAAATAATAGTATTTGACCAACAAGTGGTTCCCTTTTCAAAGTGATCCAACGGCGGACACCCTGTCCCAATCAATTCTGATTTAATCAACGGGTGAGTGATGGGTTAGGGGGGGGTGATGTAACGGGGTAGCCCGTTACGTGATATTGACACCAAACGGTGTCAATAGGAAGATTGTCTAGTGTGACAATTCCCGACCAATATTATCCAAGATGGATAATGTTGAAGGAACAGTAATCCCTTTGTAGGATAATATTCATGCGCTGCTCAAAGATTGGTTGATAGAACACTTATCAACCAAGGCTACCACCAATCGCTGCTAGACGCGCGTGATGAGTGGTGAACAGGTTGTCGTCGTACGACAAAGCAGATTTAATATAGTTAGATAAAGACAGAAGTTCTATTGATAGCTTAATTGTACTAAATACAGTTCTCTTTTTACCCTATACTCAACATAGCTGTTGAGCAGATTAGCTTCCTCTGCACGTACGAGTGCACGTAAAGTTTCGCGGCACCCCAAACAAAGGGTGCCCCGCTACACTACTCGTAGTAATAGGAAGACTTACGAATTAGAGAAGCCGTTAGGTTCTACGGAACTAACCTTCGATTGGTTTAAAGAGTCCTCACTTCTTAGAGTTAGTCAACAAGTACTGGAAGAGTCTTTAAGCTCGTAGAGCTTCCTGTTTTTGGGACAAACAACGACTCTTGGAATTGTACGCACAACGTGCTCTCGAGTATACGTCTCAAGCTGACTCTTACTCGTAACGACCTGCTGACGTCTAAAAGTAGATACGTGTCAATTTAAGATCAAAAGAGGAACTGAACCTTTATTTCTTAGTTTTATCTGTAATACACCTCAATCAACAACCTATACTAAGCTCAAACCAATTGCATTGTAATCTTCAGTCCATAAACGATTGATATATGGTACATCAATCCGTCATCAATGGATGACTGAGGTTATCAACCGCATCAATTATCACAGGGAAACTTGAAATTGTAGATCACATACGCAAAGTATATCCCTTCAGGACGATAACGGTCGTGTGACCCCGTTACATCTAAGATAGGCTCGATTAAAAATGTGTATAGCTGTACAATACCATTTCTTCTTCGGAGAGGTAATCGTAGCTGCGACAAATTAATTACATTTGGTAATATTGAACCTTTGATTCTTTCATTTATGTAGCTTTCTCGACTGGATACTAGCGTTGCCATTTCTGTTCAATACAAAATGCAACCCCGATGTACCTGACATGTAGAGACGAGTTCGTCGTGGTCGGTTAGGTCGTTTTTGAAGCCATCATAGAGCTTCAGTTGTCCATTGCGTGCTATAAAGTTTGCTAGGTCACTCACTGATGATTTGTACATATGCCAATTATGCGATAGTAGTCGTACGGATGTATGTTGGCGCGATAATTGTCGTCCAATCTTTATCGTTCTTTGGCATGGGTGTAAATGGAGTGCTTATATTAATAAGTGGGGTGTATTTCACAATACCCTTTTTATTTAGTGACTAAATGAGGCTCCCAGTTCGTTTTTGTATCACCTTATTGAAAGCGTTTGCTCTTGTATCACATCAACCGATTTCTGTGGCCGAGTGGTAGACCACTGGAACTGGGACCGGGACGTACCTGCATCGATACCCGGTGGGGGTTCGATTACAGGGCGCCGGAGATAGGCTAATAATGTAGACGAGCAACCACCAATGGGTGGCCGGTGCCATCCGGAGGCCCTACAAGCCGAAAAGCCCCATAGTGTAATGAGGGGTGCGGGTCCTGTAAGGAGTTGAAACTGAGTCAGAGTACTCGCAAATCACCCCAGGGTGATCTGAAGGACCGTGCGGCATAAATCTCTCTTGTATCACCTCATTCAAAAAGTTTGCTCTAGTATCACCTCATGCAAAAAAACCACGATTTAGTTTTTCACTTAAATTTTACGTTAGGGAAACGAGGGAGTATGTCGAAACCTCAAAAGGACTGAATCTCGCAATTTCCCTTCAAAGTTTGTCATTTGCTTCCCGTCGCCCACTTTATTCGAGCCAGCAAATGCTGCCTGACGACCGTGATTAGAAAGTTTCGGACCAAGTTCAGAATCGATAGTTAATCCAAGTCATGCTGGGCTGACTTGAAACGTCAGCCGAAGTGGATGAGCCTTGTTTGTGCTGACCCCATGACCCCGAAACGGGGTAGGTGAATCTACCATTCAAAACTCAAGTGTAGCGACCACATCTCTATCTTCTCTCTCATGACGTGGTGGCAGTGTCCATTGCAATATTTGATCAGTCTGAGGCACGATGCAGCGCCCCTCATCACGTGCTCCTCCGTCCCATGCGCCTATTGGTCGCTTTGCTACTAAATCAACACGCACATCTTCTACTTCTGCATCTCACGGGCGGTGGCGCACCCGTGGATGGCTGCTCTTTTACGTCGTCCTGGGGCTCTACGCAGCTGCAATGCTCTGCTCTTTCTTGACGTCCCCGTGGTCCGAAGCTCCTCTCGTCCTAAATCTCCGAGAGATGAAGGAGAACGAGGCTCCTGCACAGCCTCTTCATCTCTTCCACCAGAATGGGCCAATGGCAGGTTCCGTCAGCGTGGCGCCGATTGCAGAGAACGTGGATGAGCTAGAAGGAGGGACTGGGAGCAATGAGCTCGTACCGGAGCAAAACGAAAGATCTGGAAAAGTGTTGACCACGCGCGAGACGGAAAAAGATGTGGGCGCTTCGTCGAACAGTCTTGAGGAGGCGCTGGGTTCTAGAGGGATGACAGACCTTTCTGCTAGTGCTGCGCCTTCAGTGTTAGCCCCAACAGCACCATTTGTTTCCTTGAACTCGGTCGGTGTACAAGTTTACGGAACATTAAACGCTTGGTCGATTCCGCCACGGCAGAACGACGAGAGTATGCTATTGAACAAGAACGAAGAAGCTGACAAAGAAGCATGGAAGGTCGAGGATTTTGTCGGGAACGAAGCTACAGAGACACCCAAGATGTCGCTGCCAATCGACGAGTCCAGACCATCTGTGCGGCGCTCACAGGAATTTACTGATGCTTTAAACCTTGTCTATTCGCTTGAGTTGAGTGCGGCCGGTCCTGGTACAGGTGCCAAAAACGCCGCACTTGTTACCGGATTACGTGATGGTGTATCAGATCGCGATCTGTGGAAGATTGAGGATTACGAGCATCAAATTAGTCGCTTAGAAGGGATTAAGCGGGAAGCCAATGAAGAGTCTGAGCGTCTAAAGGAACTTGTCAGTGCAACAGACGAGCTCATTCTGGAAGAAAGATATAGCTTGGAAGACGTTCGAGCGGCCAATACAGTTGATTTACGCTTCCATGAACCGCGCCGGATCCGGAATAATTTGAAATGTATAGGATGGCGCCAAACTGGACAATGTAGCCCGTACGGCAAACGTGAACCAAGCTCTGACAGTGAATGCAAGCGACTTGTCCATGCTGGTGTTTCTGGATATTGTGAGGTGATGGACGAAGATACCGGCGAATCTTTCCGCGTCATGCAACTCAACTGTTCCAGTTTGCTTGACCGTGTTGTGTTTTCATGTGCAGATGCTACCGATTTTGCTAATTTTGGACTCATGGCTCAGAATGTTTACGAGAATGCTTTGGCTCAAAATACATCGGACCCACCGAAGCTTTTGGGAAACAGTGGCACCGGCGATGGCATCGTCATTGTGGTGTACCCGAAACTTGTGGCTAGTGTATTTGCATCGGTCAGCGTCTTACGATCGTATAACTGCACACTGCCAATTGAGCTATGGATTTCGCAATCTGAAGTGACGCGCACTCCGAGCATGGGAGCAGCTTTGAAAGTTTTGCAGCAGCAATTTTTGGATGTGAGCGTGGAAACCATCGTTGACCCGACAATTATGAAGTTTTCCACTAAAATTTACGCCATGCAACACAGCAAGTTCGAGAATGTATTGTTTCTTGACGCGGACAGCGTTCCCGTGCGTGACCCGACGTTCCTGTTCCGTAGTCAAGAATATCGCAAGCATGGTGCTATCTTTTGGCCGGACTTCTGGCATCCGGACAATACCGTGTTCGGCATTCACCGCGAGTCTCTGTTGTGGGAGCTTGTCGATCTTCCCTTCGTTGACATGTTTGAGCAAGAGAGTGGGCAAATACTCATCAATCGGAAGCGGGCTGCGCTCGCACTGGAGGTGCTTATGTTCTTTGCGTCACATCTCCCCAACTACTTCAACCGACTTTTACTGGCTCACGGCGACAAGGATCTCTTTCGACTGGCCTGGATGAAAGCACATGCGTCCTTTTACATGATGCCATTCCCACCTGCTTCGGCAGGCCCTGTGTGGGGAACGAACTCGGAAATCTTTTGTGGCATGACTATGGTCCAGTTTGACGTCGATGGCGATGTTCTGTTTCTTCACCGCAACGCCAAGAAACTTGGCAGTACGGCTGATCATCACGACTCGCCGTTCTGGACCCATCTGCAGACGTTCAAGTGGGAGCGACCGTTAGCAGTGGACGACGATGAAGACACTGTGACTACATCGAATCGGACGGCAGTGCAGCGCTTGCGAAGTCACGAGGATATGAAGCAGATGTATCGTATTGCCATCGTTGGGACAGACAATCATTTCGAGGGGCTTGAAGCTTGCTACGGCGCAACTGTCGACACTAAGGAAAACTTTGAACTCACGAAGTTTGAAGACTTACCATTCGCTAATCTAGAGCAGGAGCTAATCAACTACGCGCACGGGGCTCAACTCCTGATGGGTCAGACGTAGAAATGGCATTACGATGACGACACCCGATCTGAAACCAAATGTAACCGTTCGACGGTCGTTTTGACAGCACTTTGTATTCATTCGTCCCGTTTTCAGTGTAATCGCTTAGGTGCGTTTCGTTCTCTCTAAATACGATGCCGTCACGCCGGTTGCCGCTCGCGCTCTTGCTGCTGCCGCTCGTATTGGGGCAGCAGTGCACTCACTACTCTCGAGACGATCTGGTCGCTCGCCTGGAATCACGAGTGTCCAAGTGTCTGGGTCCGAGTGCCTCATCCACCGCCATCTCGACGCTGACTGAGCGCTTTGTGGCCAACGATTACGATCGCCACGAGCCACTGGCACTTGTGCTGTTCTCCACGTCTAGCGATCTGCTGCACCCTCTGGCTGGTGCTGTCGCCTCGTCGCTCTTCGGCGCTTCTCGATCAGTAGACACGGTGCAACTTGTCGACTTTCAGACGCTCCTGGAGCCCTTGCGGGAAAGTAATTACGACATGAAACAGACGCTTCGATCTGCTCTCGCCACGCCTCTTAGTGCCTGTCCCCAGCGCAGTCTTTTCGTCTTTGACAATCTACAGGCACTAGATGAAGATGCTTTACCCGTCTTGGACGTCTTCCTTGACCCTTTGAACGGCAAGCGCGCTCAGTTCCAGCACTACGTCGAGAACGAGGCCAGCCAAGTCTTTGACTGCTCGAACTCCGTGTTCCTCTTTCTGTACAAAGTTGCGGAAATCGAGTTCATTTCTGAGGAAACAAGCACTCTTTCAGGGTCAATTGGCGATTGGCAAGAGTACCTGATGCAGCAATGGACACGATCAGGAGGGGAAGTGGCAGCGTTCACACCCCAGGCCTTCATCGGCAGATTGACAGATGCCGTGATGGTGTTGCCACCCGAAGATGATTACATGGATAACACATTCAAGGAGTTCAAGCAAAGTCGTGAGTGGCGTCGAATGTGCGAGCTGCAGATTAATGAGGCGGATCGAGAGGAAGCTGAGGGTGGACCATCGACAAGGGCTTCTGCATTAGGCGTCGTCGCCGATAACGTTGCTTCTGCAGCTCCCATGCTCCCTGGTGCAATCGCAATAATCTTAATACCAGCTTATCTGCTACTGCTCACACGCGTAAAGCGCTGGAATAGGGGAACAGCAGAGGTACGGAAGCGAGCCGGCTCCCATCGACGCAGCAGTACAAGTAGCAATGCTCGGCGGAAGAAGCGAAAGATGCGCAAGTGATACAACAGCTTGTAGCAGCTGGGCTGGATGAAATTGCTGCAAGGTGCAGTATAGCATACATTTTTCTGCATTTTGCGGTAGATTGTGCATAAAATTGGGGAATATAAACACGAGCAAGGCATCGCCAACATTTTGAACGGACTAACATGGCCAAAGATTACAGGCGGACAGTGCGTTTTAGTCCGCTCAAAAGCCATCAACAGTCAAAGAAGTTGTCAGATTCCTAACAGTCCTGACAATGATTGGCTCGAAACAAGCAACAGAAGCTTCGACGTCCACAAAATACACCAAAATCTTCGTAACAGTTGTGGCATGTGAATTGGCTGGGCCATTTTGCATGTGGGAGATTCGTTTGGCAAAGTTAGCATCAGAGATTTACTTGTAAATATATAGCCTGGGCACTGTAACCCGTATTCAATACACTAGTTTTAGTATCAAAAGCTTTTTCAAGCTACCACACAGACGACACTTTACAGCAACGGTATGCCTCGTGACTGACTCATTTGCGTGATTTGTTATTACAAATGTGCGAAGCTGTTTCTTCAATTCGACTAGATTAATTGCTTCGCAATGTCGTCTGCCGCTGAACAGGATACGAAATGTCAATTTTTCAGCAAATGGTTTTTCTCTAACATGAATAATTGACAATTCATGTTGCGCCATGACAGCATTTTTACGTTTTGTGTTTACCTTTTCAGCATCGAAGATTGCACGAATTCTATGAAGCAGCGTAGACGACATTCATGGTATTAAAGGTTGTATGGTTTGCAGCTTGCACTAATTCATTATAACGATGTATCACATCTTCGGCCCCCGAACAAGTTCAACTGGAACGGAAATCCACCAAAAACTACATGCCTTCATACCTTACAACTCAAAACGTTGCTCCATTACTTTATCCCCCAGGCCTGCCATAAATGCAGTCCTGGCCACCACTAGAGATGCTCATTAGGCCCCGAGCTGATATACGGAATCGCTAAATAAAAATGCACGCACATCATTCCACGAAAATATTTTCTCTCGTCTTCAAGCATGCACGTAATGAGATCTAATTGCTTACAGGAGTCAATGCTGAACAAGCTTGGCTGGATGGAGGGCGACGAAGAGATGCCATGCAGCTTGTATCCTCGAATAGCACAGTTTTGCTTACAAAAGGGATAACAACTTCGCAGTATTTACCAAGCAGCTATCAGCCTGTGTGCGATCTACCTGCGAGCAACATCCTTCGTCTAACTTGCACATTGGAATAGGCAGAGGTAGTATTGCATCGAACCGTATACCAATCCTGTTGGGCTCTTTGTCTTTTGCACGCAAAGAAGCTGACCATGACAAAAAAACGATGACGATTTTGAGAGTCCCGCGTCAAGCACCTTGCAGACGGCTGTATTTTACAAGAACATGAACTCTGTGAACCCTGATGGCGCTATGGAACTCGGTGAATTTGCCGACGTGCCAGCAAGCTACGTAAATTAGCGAAGAGTTCCGTGGGGAGTCTACAATTGCGAGCAAGGTCAGTTGTAGTATATTTGTGGGTACGAAAGACACCTTGCATCACCACTTCGTAATCGACAGCGAGCTTGCTACAGCAAGAGTTCGCGTAGCAGTAAAATGAAATAACCGAGCTTAACACTAATCACCGCATTTGTGAACGAGTGTCAATAGTAAATATGGAATTGTGCAAGCACAGATTTGTCGCTGCCAGTCAGACTCCTTGCACTTGAGCCCGTATTGTCTTGGTAAATCTGACTCGTACTGGTGACGCTGATTTGATTTTCGAATGATAAGATTCGTTTAACGAGTGTCGGTTGTGTTACGAATCAGCTTCCGTTCTCAATATAGTTCTTGGGACTGACGTTTATTATCTTCTTTATCCAAGCAAACTCCTACCTTCCTACTACAATATCTGCTGGTGTTTTCCACAGAGTACAACAGCAGCCTACCTCTTGACTTCGCATTTCAGTTGGCATTTGTCGTAATTTTCTAGCGTGCAACAGGAATCAACCCTTCAGCTTATTAGATCAAGTTAAATAGTTTTGTGCTTCGAACAAAATTGTCGTGTTTGTATAGGTCATATTATGGAAACGCTTACCTATTGCTCTATATCTACGTCTGCTTAATCTTCATCGCCTCTGCAGCGAAGCGACGCAAATTCATCTCAAGCCCGGCAAATGGCAGATTAGCCATGTTTTGTGCGTAAAAGTGTTCGGCCATGCTCACATTACGCTGGCCGTAGCAGTTCTGCGATCGAGGAAAATCCGGGTAGGCAAAATATGTCTTCACATAGTATTTCTCCCGCTTAAAACTACTGTTGAACGACAGTAGGTGTGTCCACACGACTGAATCTGGGAGTCCGTCAGGCTCGGGAGCTTCCAATGTCGGTGCTGGAAGTTCGTCCGCCTGAACAATTGGCTTCAGCTCCGACCAACTTGGAATCGGTTTGCCCTCTTGTCGAAACTTCTGCCGAACCTCAATCTTCTTTTTTGACCACGCAATTGCTCGAGACTTGTAGCTAAGTTGTTCTCGGAGAGGCTCTCCCATAAGCTTATGCGAGTTGCGGTGCAGGAAGAGCACGTCACCTTGGGCATCGTGTTGCACCATGGTCAAGCCGCAGAAACTCCCGTTCATGATTTTTCCTGCTATCGCCGGCGGCGTATTAATCATATGAAACGGAGCGGCAAGCTTTAGCCACGCGAGACGAAAGAGATCTTTGTCTCCGTAAACGAGTTTCATCTGGACGAAACACGACGGCCGGTGGAAGGTGTAAAACTTAACAAGCTCCAGTGCTTCTGCATGACGTCGGCGATCAATCAAAATTTGGCCACTCTCTTGCTCAAACATGTCAACGAAAGGCATGTCAAGAAATTCCCACAAAAGCGACTGGTTGTTAATATTGAAGATGGTATGTCCAGGGTGCCAAAAATCCGGCCAGAACACAGCTCCGGTCTCCACAAACTCCGGTGAACTAAACAGAAAATTGGGGTTTTTCGAAGGCACGTTGTCTGCATCCAGAAACAAAATACGCTCAAAGTGACTGTGGTAAATTGCAAATACCTTCGCACTGAAGCCAGATGCACGCTGATCCAAGATCTTACGAAAAGTAATGACTGGCGTGTTATCGTTCGCTGCCAATGCTTGCAGTGGTTTCATCGCATCCGATGCTTTTTCAAATTCGGTATCAAGATACCATATTTCGATTGGCAGTTGACACTGCTGCACCTCTCGCAATGTCCTGATCGTTGCGTACGCACTAGGTACCAACCTTGGATACACGACCATCACAATTCCATCACGCTGCCCTTGCCTCCCATTGAGGTTTTCTGGTACATTTGGTATTCTAGATCCCGGCAAACGCACAGTTTTGATCGCTTTACGAGCCTCGCGGTGAAAGTTGGTAAAGTGAGCAGCAGCGGAGCAGCTAACCTTCACGTCCCATGCAGCGCTACTACAATAGCTTCGCATGACTCGAAACCGTTCGCCTGTTTCTGTGTCGATTACTTGACAATATCCTGAGCTGCCGAACGGAATCTTGCTACTGCAGCCAAGGTCCTTATCAGGCTTGCGCGGACCAAACGGACTACACTCGTCAGTAGCTATCCAGCCCAAGCACGTAAGATTTCGGGGTGTTGTCTCATCTATTGACGGCAAATGCAAATCTTGAACGTCATCTTCTGCTTTCTGTGATCGTGCCTTCCGGGTCATTAGCGGATCCCTAGTCAATGCACGGTCAAAGCTTGTTAACCCTTTCGTCTCGATCTCGGCCGCAGCAGCATTTTGCGTCACCCGAACAGTTCCTCGCACATGAGACAACTCTATCGATTCGTTGAGTTCTGCTTGCGTCGAAATACGATTATCCTTGTACGAAGCCTGCTTCTGTAGCGTCTCTTGCGTCTGCTCGTTCGCGAGTTCCACAACTGCGCCCTCAGGAGCAGCAACCACACTAACACGACGATCGCGCTTCGACGGCTCCTTCCTCGACTGTGCCAAGACCGTGTCACTGGATACCGCGTTCAGGGATCGCGCGGACCAGATTAGAATAAGCACCCAATACAGTACACTGCCCACCAAGAGCAGGTAAGCCAGCCACATGCGCCTTCTTGATGGCAGCAAATGGGTAACCAGCGACGCGTTTTCGTGACGAAGCATGGACTTATTTTCAGCTCCTTTTGTCGTTGAGGTACCTGTACGCATGCGTAGTAATATCTCCTGCTCCATTGACCAAAGCTGTTACGTTGATTGGCTTTGCCTCGTTTAGTTGGAAAATGAGTAGCGATGACGTGCGTGGATTAGGTTCACCTGTGTTCGTATTTTGCGCAGCTCCATAGGGATTTTGCGCGATGTCTATGCACGCACGTTTTAACAAACAGTGGTCATCGAAAAAAAAATCGCCATACGCATTTGTAATTAACAACCAGACGACGAAACGCATCAGGAACTGATACAACACTCGGCGTTATATTAGCCAATACAAAGCATACTTAATCAAGATCCCTCAAATGGTCAAGCAGGCTGAAATTACCGTATAGTGACCATCCATCTCGAAATCTCGAATAGGCACCACATCATGTCCAGCACAGCTATAATTGACTAGCAATGGGACGAAGAGCTAATTATGTAGATCTCCCTTCAACATACAGCTCTGCTCTTCAAAGCAATGATATTCTTGGATTTGCTCCTAAATGCGTCGTCGTCTTGAAGTCGCCACCAAATCCAGAGGCTTGCTGCGTGCGATTTTTCCGAGATGAGCTACATCGCCCATGGTCCCGTGTGACCACATGTAATACTATTTCCAGTTCCCAATTTGAGCGCCACAGCGCGTCGCATCCCCGTCGATCATTTCTTGTTTCCCAACGATCGTGGAATACCTGCGAATGTATACAACGGTGGACCTTGCAGCGACGCAGAAAGTTACGTCGTCACACTAGCCTGTCTTTTGTCACTCCACCTGAGATAGCAGGTAGTGATTATATCGACAGCAATAAGCAATTCGGAGCTTCGACCACATATGCCTCAGTATCCATTCTTGAGCCTCAGCTGCATCTTGTAAAGGCGGTTAAAGCGACCGAGGTCGGAAAATTTCGAGAGTTTTGGGTGTCCGCATGCGGCCTACAATCTGCAAGTAGCAGGCCAATCTCTCGCCTATTTGCAGGCCCAAAAGGCGAAAATATTTTGTGCGAGTTAGAGCCAACCGCTTAACGTCAGCAAGTCACAAACGAACCAATACCTCACATGGTTAGCTCAAAAGTGATCAAGGCAGACGTGTTCGGATCAGCAAAAGTCTCGCTCCTCCAGCCAAAAGTAAACGTGCTGTGTAGTTTTTCCTAGTACTTAATACACTGAAATAGTTAGCATCATGGTCAGCCTTCTTGCTCAATAGCAGAGAAAGCTCCATAAACCTTGAGTTCTCTTCTTCATCGATCAATTAGACGCTGGCGGCCGCACTTGTTGCTGGCGGCGTTACCAGGTGGGATCATCCGTCGCCCTCCCCCTTTTCTCTCATGCATCTCACATCAATGAACGAGTAACTCAAATACACAACAATGAATCAGTCCTATTGCTGTTTCATACACATCGCGTAGCCAAGTACGTAGCCGCTAGCCCTCAAATAAATTCGTGACTAATCAGAACTTGAATCGGTTCTTGAACTGGAATGCATACATTAAAGGGTGGGGTGTAAAGCTTGCCTCACCATCTAATGTGCTGATAGGAACAAAATCACTCTTTTGTGACAGGATCGTGCACGACCAATGAAAATTATAGTTTTGCCTAAAGGCATGACCTGTAAAATGGGTGGGTCACAAGCATATTCATTGGATCGACGAGATCGGTATAATTACTTACGTTGCACTTTCGGAGCATAACAAAGCATCAGCTTTAGATCGACAAACGTTAATTTCTAACAAATGCTGCCTTCACGCAAATTGATCCACTTCGCTTTCACCAGACTTCCAAGAGATTCCAAATTTACAAAGGCATTCCATTTCGATAAGAAATTATAAAGCCCGCTATCATTGTGACAAACTAAAAAATGACGCGTACGGTACATAGCTTCTCAGAAATAAGTTGAAGCTTCCACTACACTGCAATAGAGCACCTACAGAGGGTGTATTATCGCTGTAATTACTAAAACCAACGTTTTCAGCTCAGCCACCGACTTGCACGGCTCTGCTTTGACATATACGCATAATCTGTGAAGGAAGAGAGTGGTACCGCCAGACTCTCATTCACCCACTGTAATTTCTACCAAATGTATGGCGAATCGCCACCATCGAACCAAAATAGCAGTTTCAATTAATGACCGTGCATATGCTGAACGTGGTTCACCAAGATGACAGCGTTAGGCGCAATATAACGGCAATGCGGGCATTCCTGCTTCTCTTCTTCTGCAGAGGAATGTGCTTCAGTCGGCGTCGGATAAGGAGGCATCGGGCTCGTCGTCACCGTTACGACTGGTACTACCGGTTCCAACCCATACACCCTGCTGCCTCCTAACACAGCGACCGGGTCGGGCTCGTTGCTAGCATGACTAGAATCCACGTGAGCGACCATCGTCACAGCATCGAGACTTACAAACGGACAGTATGGGCATTGACTTGCACCAGTTGCACAAGACGCCGCCTCATACGCTGGATAATAGGCTGCTTCAGCGATCCTGTCCTGCCCGGAATTATGCTCTTGCTGATGTCTTGAGCTACGGTACTTTCTCTTTTGACCGCAACACCAGCGCGTAGCCAGCGCAATAATTATAAGCAGCACAATCGCACAGCCCACGATAACGGCGATCCCCCACGTAGACCAGAAAGACTTGCCATCGCTAGTATCTGCTGACCCAGATGTGGATCCAATGGCACTAGAAGACGCCACAAAAGCAAATTTCTGATAGTCCGACAGCAGCACACTGCGGCCGTAGACTACAGCCTCGACGAAGATTTCTCCATTGTCTCCGAGTGCCGAGCTGTTTGCTTTGCTGCCAATACCACTGCTGCTTTGGTTAGTGCCACCCGCAGCGGCAAGGAGATCTGTGTAAGATACCAGCACCATCTCAACATTGTTGATCGAATCCCTTCCTGTTCTCGAGTCGGCTGTTAGCGGGCCGAATGTTCGGCTTTCGTTCCGAACGCGAACGATGAGGTCCAAATCGTGCTGCAGCTGCGACGTCGCCTGTGTTGACCCTGGTGGATCGGTCCACACTAGTGTGGCACGCAAATCAACATTGCGAGCTACCGTAAACGAAATCACGATTTCACCGCCGTGGTTGACCGCAGGCTCACTGTTTATCGTAGAGTTTGGCAGGAAATACAGAGACGCTAGACCACTACTGCTCCCATTGCGGCTGGTATTTCCGCTAAAACTAGAAAAATCCACAATGTTTGTAAGATTCGGTTTGCCGTAGCCCTGGTAGACGTCCGGGAAAGTAACATCAGTGGCGCTTGAGGTTAAACTTAAGCAGGACACAACACCATCAGCAGGCAATGCGGCCATCCGCTTTCGTAAGGAATCTCCGCTGTGGATGATCAAAGCCTTCAGCAAAGAAGCAGGAACTGTGCTCATAGAATACGCAGAATTTTTACGGCCTTCTTTCCACCACCCATCGCGAAGCCATTCGTAAAGAAGCACGGCGACGCCAGTGACCACCGGCGTGGCTTGCGACGAGCCTTGAAGCGAGCACGTAGCCACGCTCTCTTGCGTTGATCCTGGAGCCTCCGATTGACTTGATATAAGGCTCATTCCAGGTGCCACAACGTCCGGCTTCATTCTTCCGTCGGTCGTAGGACCAGCAGAAGAGAATGACGCTACTGTCCGCTCGTTAAAGATATCAGAGCATGCAAACTCTACAAAAGTTGATGCAGAGTTAAGGGATGCGCCAACGGAAATTACATTCTTCGCACCAGATGGGGATGAAATAGTGCGCTGGCCAGTGATAGTGGACTCACCACTGTTGCCTGCCGCCACAACTACGAGCACTTCCGGATTTGCGCAAATAAACGCGTCCAAATCTCTAGCTTGCGAGCTGTAATCTGACCCAGGCGTACCCCACGAAAACGAGAAAATTCTGGCACCTGCGTCAATCTGACTTTCCAACAAATCGCTGGCATCTGCAGGCGTGGCCAGCGATACAGGACAATTTACTTGTCCAGCGCAGGTTTCACTTTGCGTTCCAATGTCCATGAATGCGATTCGCGCCTTGTCGGCGATCCCAAAATTAGGGTAGTTTCCACTTAAAGAGCTGCCGGCTAGTATTCCCGCGACGTGGGTGCCATGGCCACATGTAACTGTCTCTGATTCATCTGCACGGTTTGCCCAGGCGTTGTACATGACTACTTTTCGGGCCGACATCACCATACCGGAAAAAACATTACGATCTTCTTGGTCAAACTGATCGTGATATAGATACAGCCCCGTGTCTGTAATCCCAACAACGACATCATTTCCACGAATGCCAGCTTCTCGTGCCAAGTCTACGCCTATAAGACTTGGCACAAAAGCATCCAGACGTCGATGGCTCTGTAACCGCACCCAGCGTTCTTGCTCTTCGCCGCGTAACAAATTCTCCGTAAGCTTGTGCCGCTCATCAATCCACTCGACCGAGCGTGAAACTACAGCAAGAGCCAGCACGTTTGTCCACGCCACCAGATTCTCAAGTGGCTTGGTAAAAATCGATCTCGGCTGATTCTTGCTCGTTTCAAAGACATTAAGCATCCCAAAGCTTTTCTGTGCTTGCTGTTCGAACGATGACAAAGTAGACTCTGGATCTGCCGTCTGGACAAGTCGAATCTCCAGACCAGGCGCCGTCAGTGAAGCATTTCCACCCATCTCTTGCTTTTTCATTCGGTCACTTAAATGAGCAGCGCTCCTTGCAAACGGCATGAGTTTCAGAATCATCGGCAAGTCTAGCACAACATCCACACACTCGAGCGCTTGAATTTTCTCCACAGTCCAATCGTCTGCATGCACAAGCAACACTGTATTGTCCCCCAGCCAATCTCCTCTCCTCGTAAGCAACGGCATCTCCGCTGTTGCATCCAAACCTTTTACATTTCGTATTGCAACGACACACGCTCGGTCCTGATCGGCTTCAACGACCGTCGCTTTAAGCGTCACCAGTCGCGCTCTCAGCCCAGTCTCCTGCTCGTGCTCCAGAATGTCAAAGTGCGTGGAGGACCCTGGTAGCAATTTGTCCTGCAGAAACGCCAATTGGCACGCGTCGCTCTTCACGCTCGCGCCCTGCAGCATCGCGTCGTACGCGTGGAAAAACGCGTCATGGAATCCCTGGAACACCGCGGCCTTGTCTGCTGTCGCGAGTGTGAGTGCAAACGAGAGAGCGGACGCGTTCTGCGCCACGTCCTGGCACGACAACACGTCGATCTGCTGCGGCTGTTCGTGGCCTTGTAGCAAGCGGTGGCGACTGCAGCGCGGCGTGGCGCAGTGCGCAGACGGCGACAGCAGCGCAGACGAGCAGTGGTAGGCGCAGAAGGAGGGCGCGTCGAGAAACAGGAGCTCGTCCGAGGCCTCGAGGGCGGCCGCCGCCGCGCCGCGTCGAGCGAGCGACAGCAAGAGCAAAAGCGTCGTCGTGGTCGTCGTTTGGAGTGCGCCCATTGGACGACGTGACAGAATGGGCACTCGAGCTGTGCAAGTCGTCGTTGTTGCCAAATGAGGACGGAAAAGGGGTCGGTGCACTTTTTATGTCTGCAGCGAGAGAAACAACGACCGGAGCGTCGAGTTGTGTACGTTGGCGTCGAGGAATTTCAGGTGCAACGATAGGGTTGAGCGATACTTTACAAAGTACGATAAGGTTGATGGATACTTAAGAAATTCAACGTGACGGGCGCGTTGGTCATTACGTAATCAGTACGCAGCTGAGCATAAGTGTGTCAGTCAGTCTGTTCGATTTTTGTACGTGTCAACGTTGAACAATGTCAAATTTGTCACGAACCTCCATAATTGATATAGCAATTCGTACTGTCGTTTCATCAGATGAAAGTACAATCGGTTAAAGAACCCTCATATCTTTTACTTTGTAGCAGTCGTTTACAAGTGCTGTCCCCTGTCAAGTATACATTTAATGCACGTCTGTTTACGAGTTTGTGTAGCGAAATTGCTGAAAGGTCCTGAGCCATGTCATAAGTGCCGATTGTACGTGTCGCGGCTGACTCTTAGGGTAGCCGGTTGTGCTCTCAACAATAATAAATTGAATTGAAGCCGGGGCCGCATGCTGCAGATGTATCTGCTCGATGTTATTTATTACGACGGTCTTTAGCTGATAAAGTCCGATACTATTTAAAAGCGGTCAGTGCTTTGAAAGTCAAAAAACTTGGCATGCTGTCGTACCATGCTCAGCCCGGAGATACACAAGACAGATGAAGCGCTATTTGAATCGTAATCGATCCGTATTCGATCCCGCGACATTTAAATGTCTTGGAGATAGTTTTGCAAGCGCAGGAAAAGCTGTGGGGTAAGGATGGGCTCGACGATTGGCAGAAGGCACAACTGTTTAAATTCAACTTGGCACGTAACACTTTTGTCTGGTCGGTGTCGGTAATTAAATTCAGCACGCTTGTGCGCGAGATAATCCTAGAATATATGTGGACTATTATCTCGTTGCACCCTATCCGTGTCAGTAGCTTCCCGCAAAAGTTGTCAATAATGCGATTGGCATGACAAGATAGGGTGTAACGGGGTAGCCCGTTACATGAAATTGACACCAAACGGTGTCAATTGGAGTATTGTCTAGTATGATAATATTCTACCGATACTATCCGGGATGGAAAATATTGAAGGAACATTATCCCCTTTTGGATAATATTCATGCGCTGCTCCAAGATTGGTTGATGATATAAGACATATCAACCATAGATTTCCACCAATGGCCGCTAGACGCGCGTAATGAGTGGTGAGCAGGTTGTCGTCATACGACGGCGTAGTTTAATATAGTTAGATAAAGATTAAAGTTATGTTGATAGCTCAACTATGTTAAATACAGTTCTCTTTTTACCTCACTTGATCGAGTTGTTCAAGTAGATTAGCTTACTCTGCACGTACTAGTGTACGTGAAGTTTCGTGGCACCTAGACATAGGGTGCCCCGTTACACCTGGTAGCACTTTGTAGTCCGTCCAACGACTGCTTAGTGTCCGTCCAACATGAACATGTCGGACGTAGAAGACGACAGCTTTCATATCACACGTGAAGGCTATTTCCATCTGAGTGACTCAGAATGGGAGGTAGTCGGCCGCATGAGTGGGCTCATGGGTGAACCCGCCATCAGTGGTATGTTGGAGTCTCTAAGCAGAGACCAGCAACATGCTGCTATCAACAAGTTCCTATAAGGGGAACTTGCCGTCGAAAGACAGAAGATTGCCTTGCTACAACAGCAAGGCTCTCAACAGTCGATGGGCGGACCGACGCACATGCGTCGACCCGAAACCTTGAAGATTGATACCTCAAGGTACAAAGGAACCGATGAATATTCCCTTTCGAGATGGTTCGTCGAGTTAGACGACGCCATCAGGGCCCGTCACATCGAGGGTGGCGAGATTCAAGTCACCTTCGCCCTGTCAAATTTGACGGGACGAGCAAAGACTTGGGCCTATGGGCTTAAGCTTCACGACCCAAACGTGTTTGAGTCGTTGGATATCTTGAAGTCTCGGCTTAAAGAAACGTTTGAGCCGCCGAGAGCCGAGTTCAGAGCACGCTCTGCACTCTTGAGGCTAAAGCAAGGTAAGCGTGACGTACACGCTTACGCACAGCACCTGCGCTACCTTGCAAGTAGCGTTACGTAAAACCCTGTTGATGATCATGCGCTCATCAACGTGTTCATCTACGGCCTTGTAGATGGGCAGGTGAAGACCTACATGTTCCGAGAGGACTTCCATGTGCTGGAAAAGGCGATAGCGTATGTGGAACAAAAAGACTCTAGCCTGAGACAGTCTCGGGCTAACTCGTCAAACTATCGTCTGACGAGACGACAGGAAACAGGCTATCCCGAACCAATGGACCTCTGTTTTATTGAGAGCGAGAACTCTCGCTCTCTGCATCACAAGCTAACGGCAAGGTGCCATCGCTGTCAGAAGATTGGACACTACGCTCACGAGTGTAGTGTCCCGAGCACTGCAACACGTCCAAAGACAGGACGTGATGACCACCGTTGGCAAAGGAAGGGTCCGAGGCGTGGGTCCGACCATGTCGCTAAGCCGCAACAGCAAGTCGGACCGTCAAACACCGGTCAGGGTCAGTAGAGGCGGAGCACTCTGCTGATCCAGCAACGTCAAGAGAATTTGCAGGACTCTTGACGAAGATTGCTCCCAACACACGGTCATTGTGTGTTACTGCCTCCCGTGATGAGGAGTCCCTCATCACTTAAAAGATCGAAGTGACAAGTGGAATGTCACTTCGCGCCCAAGTTGACTGTGGTGCGTCGAACAGTTTCATTCGACGTCAGTCGCTAAGGTAAAGTAGTCTCAACTATGATGAGCGAGATATTCCTCTAACGAGAATGACGGTATGCCTTGCTACAGGCGCATCCGTAATAGTGAACAAATGTGTAGTGGGAATCCACTACACACTAGAAGGAAAAAAATACGATGATCACTTTATCGTATCAGATTTGGATGACAAATTTGATGTCATCCTTGGTCTGACATGGCTTGGAAAGTACCAGCCATGAGTTAGCTGGAAGCATCGATCCGTGAAGATGCCTGCCGTTTGTTCATCGGATGGTCATCTGATGAAAGTCTTGGAGCGCCCACAAGCGTGTGGATGTACTACGAGTGAGTGCGATGGCATCACTTGTGGTACGTTCGTTAGTACGACTGCACGAAACCTTAGTGTAACGAACGGTTACACTTCGGAGAAAAGTTCCGGCGGCTGTGAGGAAACACAGGCTGCGCCGAAGGTCCACCACTCGAATAAGTCGAGTGGACCGAGACAAAGATAGATAAGTTCCCCGAAACCCGAGGGAATAAGTCCCCGGGAAGCCGAAGGAACGAGTCCTTCGAGGCCTGAGGAAATAAGTCCCCAGGAAATGACAGAGACATTGAATGTCCTATTCAATGACCGATCAAGAGCAGGCGCTTATACACTTGATCTATTTGCGCCGTTCGAAGTTGACTTAGGAGATCACTCAGTTGCCAACGCTCGAACATAAAAGGTTCTTGCGTGATCTGCGTAGTGGCAAAGTCAAGCAGATCTGCGTACTCGTCGCTGACGACAAGTGTGTATCTGACATAAGGTCAGCAACAGTTTTACTGAGAACGAGAGAGTTTTCAGTAGTTCATCGATGGACGAGAGTGTCCTGGATGAAAAGACACGAGTTGAGCGATATGACTCCCAATCGTGGGAATCGCTCAAGACAAATCCTCTCTATGACGATTTGGTTGAATTCGAGGATGTTTTCCCTGAAACTGTTCCGTGCGAATTACCGAAGGATAAAGGTACTCGACACGAGGTCGAGCTTAAACCAGGCTCGAAATACTGTGTCATGAAGCAGTGGCCACTGCCTCGTGAACAGGTCACAGCGATCGACAAATTCTTTGCCGATCGTTTAGCTGCGGTCCATGTGAGGGAATTAACATCCCCACACAGCTCTCTGACCTTCTGTGTGCGAAAGACCACAGGAGGGTGGCGGATTGTGCACGCGTTCAACAAATTAAACGCTGCAACGGTACCGGCTCAAACGCCGATACCAAGGAAGGACGTCATCATAGATGGTATGGCAAAAAGTACCATCTTTTCGTCCATGGATCTGATGGATGGATTCTATCAGATCCTCATGCGTAAACTGGATATCCCTTACACAGCAGTGAGCACTCCCAGTGGTATGCTCTGGCAGTGGCTAGTGATGCCACATGACTAAGTAACGCCCCTGCAACGTTCAACAGATGTGTTTCGATTCTGTTGCGATCGGTGCGCGATTATGCACCGAATTACTTCGACGATGTCTTTGTCCATAGCCGGGCTATGGATAAAAATACGGACGTGGGGGTTCATAGAATTTACGTTCGGAAGTTTTTTACACTAACGCGTGAGCATAAGTTGTTCGCGAACCTCAAGAAATGTGTATTCGCAGCGAGCGAAATACCACTTCTTCGCTGCATTGTGGTTAAACACGGCGTATGCCCTGATCCAAAAAAGATCAAGGCGATTAGCGACGGCCTGTGCCAGTAGACGTCGAGGGACTTCAAAGGTTACTTGGCTTAGCGGCGTACTTGCGCAAGTACTCGTGCAAGTACGCCGAGATGACCGTACATCTCGCTCGTCTGCTAAAGAAAAAAAAAAAAAAACGAGAGGTGGTCACGGAGTGCTGGGTGTCAGCACTCCTTTGAAGGCATCAATAAAAGCTTGATACAATCGTCTGTGTTGGCGATTGCAGACCGGGACAGATCATTCTACGTTTTCTATGACGCCAGCGATTTTGCAATCGGCTGCGCGTTAATGCAGTACGACTCCGACAGCGTTGAGCGCGTCGTCTATTATCAATCGCTTCAGCTGCAAGCAGCTGCGCGTAATTACCCGGTGCATGAAAGGGAACTCCTTGGCATGATTTGTGCTTTGGCTAAGTTTAGGGTATACCTCTTAGGAGATAGGCCCTTCATCGTTCATGCCGACCAAGCGTCGTTACGCAAGGCCGTAAACAGTCCACACCTCTTGCAGCGAATGGCGAAGTGGCTTTCTTTCTTCGCGGAGTACAACTTCTCCGTTGAGTATAAACCAAGACGACTTAATGTCGTCGCTGATGCTCTTTCGCGTCGGCCCGATTGAAAACCGACTGCTCAAACACAACAGTAGGGGTGAACCCACTGTAGCAACACCAAAAGTTAGTGTTTCGTCGTCGAATCTGCTCAACGACGTGCGAAAAGCATACGCAGAAGATAAGTCTCTTCTGCGATTGATGGATCACGTATCCAAATCATGCATTCAAGCTTTGAAAAGCTTGTCGTCTCAATACCGCTCTTCACCGAACGGTATTCGGTTCGTGATGGACTGCTGTACTAGACAGCATTCAACAGCGATACAACCCGTGTCGTCATTCCGGCTCATAATGGATTGCGATTGCGCATCATGTATGAGTGTCACGATGCCCCAACAAGTGAGCATCGCGGTAGGGAAAAGACCTACCTCAAGGTAAGTCGTGATTTCTACTGGCCTCGCCAGTATGAGTTTGTGCGCAAATACCTTCGCGCTTGCAAAGTTTGCCAACGGGTGAAGACTATTCCTTCATCCCGTGCGCCCTTGCAGCCTCTACCGATTCCGGCAGAGTGTTGGCAGTCCGTATCGATGGACTTCGTCATTGGATTTCCCAAAGACACTCACAAGAATACTGGTATTCTAGTGTTTGTTGATCGGTTCAGCAAGATGTTACATCTTGTTGCTGTACCGGCGTCAATCACAGCCTAGGGCTATGCGCGTGTCTTCATCGATACTATCTTCCGTCTTCACGGGTTACCCCGTGAACTCGTGTCTGATAGGGACCCCCGCGTCACAGCGGAGTTTTGGCAATCCGTGCATCGTTCACTTGAAACACATTTGACGATGTCGACTTCTATCCATCCAGAAACAGATGTTCAGACGGAACGCGTCAACCACGTTCTAGAAGAGATACTTCGAGGGTATGTCCACTCGTTTACGAGCTGGAGTGAGTTCTTGCCGATGGCGGAATTTGCCATCAACAACTCGGTGCATGCGTCGACAGCGCATACACCGTTCTTCGTGAATGGCCTACGCCATCCACGTTTACCCGCCTTCTTAGAGTATGACTCTAGTTGAAGGGCGGTTGGACTCGCTCGAACGTAAACCGAATCTGGCTCTTGCTCAGCACCTGTCGAAAATGGTGTCGACGTGATGAATGCCACTGTCGATGCGATCGATATCGATGATGATGATGACGACGATGCTGGAATATTTAGCATTGCCAATGACTGCCACAGTGAGGACGATGACGCCCTCACTGGTGAAGACAACGTTCTTTCAGCAGTGCGCACAAAGAGCACTGCTGTTGACAAGGACGAATCAGCAGAAGAATTTCTGCTGACTTGCGAAGCGGTTGTTCTCTTCATTTGAGATTCGATTGCAGATGCAATAGTGAAGCAGAAAGAAACGCAGACAGACATGAAAGTTCAAATGTTTTATTCATTGAATGAATGAGACATAGTTTAACTGTCCACAGTAAGTGTTCCAAAACACGCAGTGACAAACATGGGCAGCAGCAAACTACTACCCAAGCACATCGTTTCATTTCATGTGTTGCGCCATACTGGCATCGCATACACGGTTAAATTGCCTTGCAGGATGCACACGCATCCTACGTTTCATGTCGGACGTCTCCGTCCGTACTATCAGTACGAGCCCGTTTCGAGAGGCGAAGAATACCTCCGCGGTCAAGGGCCTAGACCACCTTCGAGTGGTATCGTTTCAACGAACCAGTCTGGTCGACTAGCGAAGCGACCTCCTCACGCAGTTGAGCAATGTCCTGACGAGCTGCAGTCGGCTCGTCACTAAGAGAACGAGCCGGTCGTTCGTTCTCAAGTTGCGCGAACGCAAATACGGCACGATCGTTCGACCGATCATGCGCTAAGTAATTGTAATTATCCTTTTAAAGGTCATGGAGCTCATGACGCCGAGTCTATTCATGAACCAAGTCATCGTGTAACTGTTCCGTTACACGTTTCAGCTCCTGAACACCAAGCTGATCCGACTATCGAGCCGGATCAGGTATTCCCGCCACCACCACATCCTCTGTCGGATTCTCGCGGTGGTCAACGCTTTCTGGTGGAGCGTATTTGAACCACCAAGACAAGAACGGCATTCGGACAAGTAACCTAGTCCGCTGGCGTGGCTATCCACCGGTGTGGGAGCCGGAAGCCTCGCGCCAAGCTGAATGTTGATGCTCTTGGTCTCGTCGAGAAATATGACGAGACCCACCCGCTGCATTCGAAGAAGGGCCGTCGGAAAATGACCTTCCCGAACGCGAGTACAGGTATTGCAAGGTGCCAATTCCTTCTGCTATCTAGGAAGAGATGCGCGCCCTCCAGTAGGAACCACTAGGGAGGAAGGCCTCCCTAGATACACGATTCGCATTGTACAGGCAACGTGGACATGAATCACCCTACGAGAGACGGGTAACCCTGCCTCTATTGAAAGCCGGTGCAACTTGCATTGTACACCGACTGGGTTGCGTTTCTCAAACCTGATGCGAGCTGCATCAAGTTTACCGATCCAGGCCTCACGGACAATGCACTCGATGTTATGGATGAAGGCATTCCGCTTTTGCACCAAGGCCTTACCGTCTCGACCACGATTGCCGTTGTGCCACTTATGTTTGAAAAACACATCGATGAAGAACTCTTCCTCAGCAAAGATAGTTTCCGTGCTTGAATTAGGAGGACGGATCCTTCTACAGTCGAACAACAGGATTCGATCCCGTTCGGTAGTCACGCCGGCCAGTCTATCTAAATCCTTGGATGATGGCATCCAAGGAGACCCCACTTGATGATCATGGCGCAGGACATTGCGGTCCCTGGACTCTCGTGTGGTGCCAGCATGAGCACTTACACCAGTCTTGCCTGATCCCTCGGATTAATTCGCTCGTGGTGATGTATAGGTGCATCAACACCATCCCCAAACGTCCTATCGTTGTATGGACGTGCGTGAAGCGGAACTTCCTCGGAATTATCACTTGATCCGAAGATCTCGAACATGATACCGCCGCGTTGACCAGATCCAGTCAACCTGGCTCTTGCAGTGTCCGCCTCGGGTGATCCGGAAGCGTGAGGTGTCGCCTTCGAGTCGGATACGTCATCCGACTCGCCAGAATAGATGAGCTCTATCTCAGACTCATCTTAAATACGACTCGTGGTACCCGCTGCAGACGCAGCGGATGTACCTGTCGCACATGGTGACTCACAACGTGCACTGTTCACAACAACAGGCGGCAAATCACCTGCTGCTGAGACGTGAGAAGTACTCTCTCCGGCTGCACGCATGCGTGCAGCCGCCCTTCTTGCTGCTGCAGTAGCACTCGCTGGGTTTTCGAAATTCTGCATCGGATTGGCAAATGAATGGGATTTGACTAGCAAGTGCTCCCTTTCAGAGAGTGATCCAACGGTGGTCACCCTGTCCCAATTAATTCTAATTCAATCAACGGGTGATTGATGGTTGAGGGGGGGGGGTGGTGATGTAATGGGGTAGCCCGTTACATGAAATTGACACCAAACGGTGTCAATAGGGATATTGTCTAGCATGACTATATTCTACCAATCTTGTCCGAGATAAATGATTTTGAGGGATGTTTATCCCCTTTTAAAAAAAATTATGTGCTTCTCCAAATTTAATGGTGTGAGACATATCAACCATAGATTGCCACCAATCGCCGCTAGACGCGCGTAATGTGTGGTGAGCAGGTTGTCGTCTTACGACGGCGTAGTTTAATATAGTTAGATAAAGATTAAAGTTATGTTGATAGCTTAACGATATTAAAAACAGTTGTCTTTTTACCTTTACTTGAACAAGTACTTGACCGAGTCGTTCAAGTAGATTATCTTCCTCTGCACGTACTAGTGTACGTGAAGTTTCGTGGCATTTGGACAAAGGGTGCCCCGGTTCAAGAAAGCACCTGGTGAGATGTCGCCCCGCCTATGATACATGAGCTGACTTCCTGCACTCTTGCAGAAATAGTAGGAGCGCAACCTTGTTCTATTAAGCTAACGTGCACCTCGGGTGACTCAACTGACGAGTTTATAACCCTATCCGCTTCGTTCTGTAGTCAGGACCATTGCGTTTCCACATCCTTCATTCGTTCAGAGTTTTAATGTAGCGGAGCTACACAACTCGTTGAGTCAGACGAAGACTTATTTGAACAGCCAACGGCTTACGGCTGACAGCCTGTTAGTTCTACGGAGCTAAAATATAAGGGTAAAAAGTCACCCAGTTCTACGGAACTCGGGTGGACTCTACGAGATAACAGCTCAACGACTGTAGTTCTAAGGAACTACACGCACAATGTGCGAAAGGGGAATACCGGAGTCTAAAGACTCTCTAACCCACGACAGTTCCAAAAAAAACTGTCAAACGCAAGGTGCAAAAGGGGGAGAAGTCTAGGGACTTCTGCTTAAAATGAGAACTGAACTTCACTTGTATTTTACATCAAAGAAAATCCTACTTGATGTACCCTATATTGTCCTAAATACAAATATTAGCATTCGAACTAAAAGGATGGTTGCCACATCACTCAGTCATCAAAGGATGACGGTACAAAGTACGTACACGGTAAGTGCAGTAGACCTGGGAATATCGATCAATCGATATTCTCTTGCTGCTATAAATCTAAGGTCACACACATTCATCCATATCATTTGTGGGAGGTCTTTGACCAATTTAGCCAATGGCTAGTGTGACCCCGTTACACTCTCCCCCACCAGATTGACGTTACCACAAACGTCACTCGACTCATTCTCCCATTGAGACTTCTTGCAAAGTGACGCACTCACATGGACCGACCTGGGGTTCTCCTGGAAGATAAGGCTCTGGCAGAATTCGTTGGTGTCGATGAAGTGGACTCTGACAGTAGTAGTGATACGAAGGTCGAGGGGGAGGAGCAATTCAAACCCAGCACACCTGTGCGTGGGGACATTCCCCATCCGGCACCTAATCCGTTCCCCGAACGTAGTGCCGCGACTACTCTAACGGCGCTGGGAGCAATGTCCCCCATGGATACATCCGTTATCACTAACTCGCTTGACGAGGAGCAACAACGCATGCTTAATCAAGCGGCAAGCGCACGGTGCAAGTCAGAAGTTCAGACAACGTTGCAACGACACAGTGAATATACGTTCACTGAACCTGGCGTGGAAGAACTCTTTTGTCAAGCGTCACGCCATACGTTGGTGACATGGGCCACCGGCCCCGAGGCAAAAACGCCCACTGAACTCGAATGCCGCAAGGCTCTTCGAGAGAGGTACTTGGAACCTACTGTGATTACCTTGAGTTAATACAGAGAACGGCTGCAAAAGCAGGCCCAAGGAACACCGGTTCCACAAATCAGGGATATGCCCATCAGATGTCTGAAGATGGGGACGAAACTGCGGAGGACGATATGTTCATCTGCTGGGTGCATGGCGTTCGACACCTCAGTAGCATGCACGCGCTACGCGAAAGTGCCAGCGTGGCAGACGTTCACCTAGAGCAAAAGCCTCGCTATGACTTCGCGAAGTTAAAGGCCAGAGGCCGTCTGCGAGGAGCATTACGCTCCCGCTATGCTTCGGCTGCCTCTGCAGCCGCGAGTTCACGTCAATCTTTAGACACAAACTCGCCCACTCTCACTACGACGAGTGAGAAGCGTGACGCTCGTCAAGACGAGCTCGGCCGTGGCGCTCAAAAACGTCAATGGCGTATGGGCAGTCTTGCCGGAAGGAAGTCTCATAATCCCATGAGTTTTCAGACTCAGGGTATCCACGCCACTTCACCAGATATTGGTTGTGACCATGACGACAACTTCGTTGAACACATGGAACTGTAAGTTCCCTTGCTTATCAAGCAACGCCGGTGGCGGTTAAAGTATCGGCTGAAAGCCATGCTGAGTTGGTAAAAAAAGTGGAGGATCTCCGTGAGACTTTGGGTCAGACTCAAAACGCCCTAGGCAAAGCCCGATCTCGTCTGGCGACGTTGGAAGGCGATCGCGCCCGTCTTCAGATGATGGAGTCACGTCAGACTCGTGTCGAGGCTCAACTTGACCTCTTAATTTGGATGCAACATCCTGTGGCAACGCCAATGTACGCGGCGCCAGCGCCTTATAGTCAACATGGAACGGGTACCGGTATGACTTGAGCAGGCCGACATAAAAGAAGGGATGTGTACGCAATTTTCGCGGCAAGTTGAGCGTATACGCATAGCCCTTCTTGGCCACGACCGTAAAAAGGTCCAATGAAGCGCGGACGTAATTTTATTTTAAAAATAGATGATACTACATTTGTAGGTAGATTTTTAGCGTTTAGCAAGACTTGGTCTCCGACCTCATAACTTTCAATACCATTTCTACCTTTGGCATCTGCTTATTCCTTTTGTTTATCTTGGATATCAGCCATTACATCTCGCATATGTTGTAAGACATTCAACCTGTTGCAAGGAACTCACCAACCTTTTTCTGAACAGTGGCAGGGCTGACATCAGCAAGCCGATCGTCAATCCCTCCCCCACCAATCCCGGAACCACGGAGCGGCATCTTCAATGGGACGCGCGGATGGGTGAGGCGTTAACATAGAACGGGTTGTAGCCAGTCGATACGTAGACCGAATTTTTCATGGCGAATTTGACCACCGGAAGCATAGAGCTCCAACGCCTATGCGTATCTGCGCAATCGCTGCGCAAAATGTCACCAACGACACGATTAACACGTTCAGTTTGACCTTCGGTCTGCGGGGGATCCGCGGTGGACATGTCCAATCTGGTGCCGAGCACCTTGAAGATGGACTTCCAAAATTTCTCCGTAAAGCGAGGATCGCGATCTATAACAATCGCAAAAGGCAAACCGTGTTATCGAAACACGCGATCGGCAAACAGCTGCGCTGTTCATTCACCTTCAATCGAAGCCGGCACAGCTGCTATATGAGTCATTCTACTCGAACGGTCAACAAAGACCACAATATCAGTGTTGCAGTCCAAACACTTGGCAAACCAAACACAAAGTCTATACTGATGGATTCCCAACCACCCGTGGGTATAGGCAATCTATCCAAAGGCGCAGCCGCACGAGTGTAGGGTTCGATTCGTTGACACATTTCACACGTACGCACATATGTGCTCACCCATTTATTTGATTTGGGCCACCAATACTGTTGGCTGACCGAGCCGTAGGTCTTCTCTCGACCGAGATGACCACTCAAAGCTGCATCGTGCGCCTCAAAGAAGATACGATACTTCAATTCCTCATCACGAGGTATGACGATGCGCGGAGTATCCGCCGCATCTGTGCTATAGCACAAGAGGCCATGATCGAAATAATATCTATGTAGCCCTGAACGCGAGCGTGCCAACAATTTCATTTCCTAGTCTTTAAACTCATCACAGCCGAGTGCGCGTAACAACGCGACACACTGATCATCCTTGGCATAAGCCGCGCGGATTAAATCAGGATAGAAGACGACAAAGTCGTAACATGAGCAAGCTCAGAATCCGGCCTGCGTGGTAACGCATCGGTCAAAATAATTTGCTTTCCTGGTTTATACTTCACCTCGAAGTTATACTCCACGAAGAATGAAAGCCAACGGGCCATACTTTGCGATAGATGAGACGAATGGGTCGCAGTACGCAACGACGCATGATCCGTGTAAATTACAAACGGCTTGGAGCCAAGTAGATAAACTCTGAAAGTGACAAGAGCATAGTTCATTGCAAGCAACTCTTTGTCATGAACTGGATAGTTCTTTTCAGCAGCTTTTAGCTGGCGAGACTCATACGCAATGACCCGCTTATGTCCATCGACATCAGTTTGCAACAATGCACTGCCAATGGAAAAATCGGATGCGTCACAGACGACAGTGAACGGTCGCTCCGGGTCAGGCAAAGCCAAAATTGGAGCATGAAGGAGACTCTCCTTAACAGCTTGAAAATCTTGTGCCTGAACCGAATTCCAACACCAAACCGCGTCCACTTTAAGGAGGATGGTTAATGGCCTTGCCATGTCAGCATAGTTTGCACTATACTTGTGCAAGTAATTGGCTAAACCAAGCCATTAACGCAAATCGTTCGGGTTAGACAAAACCGGCCAATCAACAACGAATTTTATTTCAGCGGGGTCTGCCCGTAGGCCGATCTTTCCAATGAATCAATTTAGAAAAGGGATATCTTCAGCACCATAAATGCATTTAGATGCATCTGCATACAACCTGTATGTGCGCATGCACCCGAGCACTGCTCGTAAACGATCAATGTGATTTTCCACATCCGATCTTCCTGTTCTGCAAGGCTGTGGGCAAAACTGTCGTCAAAGTAGCTTTATTCATATCCTCTTGAGGGCGGAACAACTGCGTCACGAGACGATTAAGGTTGCGGGGGCATTGGAAAGTCCCTGAGCATAACAAGCCACTTCTTAAGCATGCCACTCGGCGTGCTAACCGCTGTGAGCGGGATATCACTCGCTCGCATGAGCAGTTGGTGATAACCATCGACTAAGTCGAGTGCGCTAAACTTGGTGCTACCCAACATAGCGGTATGAAGAACATACTTCCTTAGAATAAGGGTATGCGCAGGTATAGTGGCCGCATTGAGCTTATTGAAAGCGTGCACAATACGCCACTTACTATAGGGATGTCTGACACAAAATTTCGGTGTCGAGTGTGGAGGTTTGCTCTCCCGCACCATGCCTGCCGCGTGCTTTGCACGAAAGAACTCATCAATGACGTCACACTGTTCCTTAGGCTATGGCCATTGACGTGTAGCACAATATTTAGTGCCAGGGACCAGGTCAATTTCATGACACACACCTCTGTCGGGAGGTAGAGTGAATGATGGATCATGACACACCACGTCCTAAAATTCATTTACCAAAGGATAGAAGGGATCCAAAGGATTTTTCAAAATGACAGATCCACTGCAAGCTCTGAGTGCAACTTTAATGTCCTCAACGACTGTTTCATCTACAAGGGATGACGAGTTTAACTCATGATCAGGTCTAAGGCCACCATATTGGACAAAGCACCAGCCTTCAAGGCTTGATAAAATTCATCTACAGGCATTTCGTCTAGCTCTAGCAGAGCATTAATCGATGGAAGGGCCTCGAGGCCAACTTCTTCATATATCGCACCCGACACCCCAACGACTAACGTGTACAACTGTTCAATATTGCCGTTCGGGGTAATGGCAGAAGCCTTTCTTTTCACAGCCGCCATCTGGCGTCGCTGTCATCTCTGTACCGAAACTGAACACTTTAGCGTGTTAGGAACATCCGGTTCCACGATATGAAGATTGTATTCAACCTCTACCTGTTCTCTCTGAGAGCCAATGTCATTACCGAAATTTAGTGGGGTGCCATCACGGCCGACCTCACTCTGTGGATTTATACGTGCCACTACACTCGCATCTGTTGAGCATAGCCTTTTTGCCTGGCGAATTGCCAACAATGTCTTTACCTACATTTAGTGGGGTGCCATCACGGCCGACCTCACTCTGTGGATGTTTACGTACCACTCCACGCGCATATGTTGAGCATAGCTCTTGATGCCTTGGCGAATCGCCAAAAATGTCATTACCGATATTTAGCGGGGCGCCATCACGGCTGGCCTCACTATGTGGAAGTTTACGTGCTATTACAAGCGCATCACAGGGATCACACCCATGATGAATCGGCCTAAAGCCATGATAGCTTCCAGCATTCAGTGATTCACTGTCATTACTGGTGTCACTCAACGGAATACGTGCCGTTTCACTATTGTCAATGACATCAGAGTTAGCTAGCTCAGACACTCCAATGTCCAGCACACTGACAGATTCCGTCAGTGGCGCGCGCGAACATCATTTTGTTGCCTAGCAAAGGTGGGTTCATGACTCTCCAAAGCTTCACTAAAAACATTGCGCGTTGCGCCTAAGGTCTTCATCCTTTAATCAATCCATGGCTCATGGCGTTCAAGCCAAGCTATACTAAGGATGAGATAAAATCTCGAGTTAAAATCCAGGACAAGACAACGTTCGATAATATCGAAATCTAAAAATTTAATGCCCAAGTTCAACGCAAATTCAAGTACGGTGACACGAGTACCTGTCGCTAAGCGAAATGTGGTAATATCACCCTCATGCGCTTTTAGCGCCTCAGCATATTGCTGACATCCCTCTAGGTACTGGCGTCGAGCTTAGTTGTCTGACGCTCCAGAGTCAATTAATATTGACCACGGTTCTTGTAAGCCCTTAATTTTAGCCGAGGCCATTAACAAGCCTGGCTTATGCTCACGTCTCGTGGAAACTTCCACAAGACCGTCTGGGGCTTAGCCCTGTCTATCTTTACCACCTGAAGATTTTGCAGCCCTAGTTCCTCTCCAGTAGGGTGCCCCGCGCCTAATGGGAGTCGCCGTTTTCCCGCTCCGTACCCACTTTCGGGTTAAAAAGCGGATTGCGGCTCGGCCGACTTTTACGCGGTTTCCGCAGTGGGAACTGAGGGCGCAAGTGCTTGGTGCTCCCGCACATGTAACATATATGGACGTTACGTTGCTGTTCAACAGACAGAAGATCTCTCTCTTATTCTTCAGCATGGCTGAGGTCCATGGGCTCAGCCCCATCAAATGGTCGTTGGGCATGCCCATGAGTGCCATAGCGAGCGGCTTTAAAGTTGAACTCAGCATATAACGCTATGTCTACAGCCTCCTCAAACGTTGAGGGATGGACGCGGAAGAACTCCGTCCTCGCGATCCCTGTACGAAGTTCCTCCATTAAAAAGGTGACACGGATTTACTCTGGAAGAGGGCCCAGCTGCATAGCAGCTATTAGAGCTCGCAACTCTTGGACAAAGTCCGATAATTTTCTCTTTCTTTA